AGCAGTTGTAAAAATGCGCGACACGGCGTACCCACTGGTGTTTTGGTGGGGATGTATGATCAAGCACTTTCATCTGTGGTGTGTCCAGTAAAACTAATGACGCTAGGATCAATGTCGAATACTAATATAACTATTTATCTTGGGGATTCATTTATGTTTACACATCTCAGTTAGGAGGGGTTTCGGCAGTTTCGAACAAATGGTAACAATGAGAACGTTACATAGCTTTCATATCTTCTTACATCTGAACAACGTATTGAGCCTCATTTAATATCTCGAACACAAGACTGATAGAAAATACACTTTCATTTCCGTATCTGATATATTTAGAAGTCTCTGGCTTTCGTAAGAGCGATTGGATATCTTGAAATTTTTGGAAGATCAAGGTCACACTTGCTCGATTTGTTTCGGAGATGAGGTGTGTTATATCTATCAAAGGTAATATTGTCTGTTTAGATAGAAAAACAGCTCTGCTTTACATTCCTATGCAATATCAAATATGTCGTGTTTGTGCGTCCTAGAGACGAACGAAATCCAGTGTAACATTTTTCGCTTTCATTATAATGAAGCTATATTTATAGCTTCGTTGCTGTAAACATCGGCATCGTTAGTCTAGTGATAATTAACTAGTTATAAATTAAAGAGTGGTAGTACTTGAATTAGTTTGGGTAGTTGGTTCTATCCACAATTATCGCACAATAACCCAGGTTAAGGGACATATAACTAAGTGTCCACTTGGTTATCGAAGTATACTAGATCTAACTCGATATTCATATCAAGTTGTTTGTAATCCTCAGAAATGGCGTGCTCAGGATTCTTTGAAAGTTAATCTTAGTGCAAAAAACTCATTTTTATTGCTAGCATGACTCTTGAAAGTCTGGTTTACAATTCTTTTACCATTATTTTGAGTCGTTTTCTTGTTATATGATAATGGCTGTTCTCACTGAAATGTCGAGTCTCTTCCATCCCTAGCGTATTTTTTCTGCAGCTAACCTATCTAATACCTATATCATTGAAATAGGTTACTAAACCAAAAGTGTTTTATTCGATTTAGTACTTGAGGCATTCAACTTCAATTGCTGGGTCTGTGAGTTATAAATAAGTTCACCTACATCACCCTTGATGAATGCGACATCAACGTCACTAAGCAGTCACCCGAATCCTTAGTGCGACGACCATAGTTATCTGTTCTCAAACGTAAATTTATTTTCGAAAGATCCTTCTCAAAGATACGGCTAAAACAGTGAATACAGCTAGTGAATAAGTTCCAGGGGCTCACTCGTTCGTTGTTGTGGAGTAATCATTCAGTTATATAGTTTTGTGTTCAAAGTATTCAGCAAAAATATTGATTGTGTATTAACATTTTCGTAAATTTATAGTAGTAATATGTTGAACGACGTCAATTCGTTGGAGGGGTATTGCCATAAAATATGTCTAACATATTCAAAGTGTCTCAGAGTATGGAGACTTGTAGTCACACTTATAAGCAGCAGCAAAAACGACAAAAAGTGAAAATCCCGAAGTCAATCAGTAAAAGATCGATAAGCAAGTACTGTAGTAGGATACCCTAGAGGATTGATGGGACTTAATTCAACCACCAATGGTGAAAGGAAATTGGAAGCCAGAATACCGAGAATATGACGACTGGGGCTGTGGTGCTACATTTAATGAACAATGCCTGCTCATCAAGCATTCTGATTTTTTCCCATGTCAGTTTTTAAAGGCCTTGGTATATTCAGTTATTTTCATTTCCAAACCTTTGAGAATCGCATGTCACTAAAATAAACTCTAACAATAATCCAGATCAGTGGTTGAATGACCTGGGTAACATGGCTCGAATTAAATAATGGTGGTGCGATTGTATCCAGTCTTTATCTCCCTATAGATCTTCAGTTTGATATTACACAGATTTCATTCTTCTATCTTATCCCCCGTCTTTGGTTTGTATTTTTTGTGTTCGATTCTCCACCTCAATTGATACAATTTGGAACGTTTATCTTTTCTTGTCAATTTTCTGTCTTACTGTGATGTGAAATATAATAACTTATGGTGGTGTGAAATCACACCGTGGGTTGGTATCAATGGTTTTCAAATGAGTTAAGTTCATTTTCTAGTCTATTAGTATTAAATGCTGTGTAAAGTTTCGTAATATGAGCGAACGCACTGCTGTTCCGGGTTCTATGTTGATAATGTCTATCTGAACTGCTGTGATATTTTCCACCTGATGTCAAATATAGTCGTAAATTTACGTTTCAGTCCCATAGCGGTCCTATTGATAATCCGAAATTAATATAGTTGTTAAGTGATTGTTCGCTCAATTACGTATGAGATCCTGAATATGCTCTCGTTCTACCCTTAATTTCACTGCTTCTCAATCTTCGAATGATGCATGTTTCTATCTGACTTTTTAGTTATAAGTTAGCAATTGATTAATATTTCCTGAATCTAAATTTCTCCAATCGCTTCATAGAAGTGTTCATTTGGTGGCTGTCTACCCGACCTTAGAGACTATGGTTTTAAACTAATCGTCGTTTAGTTTAGTTAACAAATAGCACCTAAATCAGTCAGTCACAACGTAGAACTTTGTACGTACTTACATTAGTTCGAGTTGCCATACCACATTAGCACAAGGACGCAGCATCTAAATACTAAATGAACATTGTCCATATAAGTTTAAACATTCACATAGTGTTGTGTCTGGTGTTTTTCGATTTGTAAACAATTTCTTGTGGTTATTCTTGTTGTTTGATTAAGAGAATGCTAATAACTTAAAGATCCTTATTCCAAGTTTTAATTTCTCTCGTTATTGTATATTTTTTGAATTTGTTAGTAAGGTCAATTTTAACGCTAGATGAATTTATTCTTCATAGATTTTACTGGTCAGCACTTTCTTTCGGACTTGATTTTCCTTGGAATCTTGGCTTTAGTTGTCTTCCTTCGGTTGAAACTTTTCATCGATAGATCATGTCTTAACATTTTTTGCTATTTGCTTTATTTGTCATTTGCTTGATTATTTTAAGTATTATCTACTGATATATTTTCAATTCTAAATGCTGTTGGTTTGCGTAAATTGCCCTTTAAGATATTTTATCATATGGTTGTGATTTGTTGTTTTCTTTATTTATTCTAATTCTGATCATATGTCTATCACACTTAATAATAGGTTTGATTAACTTTCACCTCTGATTTATACTTCTTTTCAATTTCTGAGTTTTGTGAGAGCGTTTTTCCACTGCGTTTTGCTTGCCATGATATTTTAATATGATATTTACTTTTTAGCTACTTTTTCTATTCGGTTAACTTTTTGTCTTTCTCTTTAAACACATTTCAATATTTAACTAAATATCTCCAGGTGAACATTATTCTTTTCTACTCAATGTATGTAATAATTAGCAAAAAGCGATCAATGAGAAACAACATAGGAGTTGATTGTGACATTCTAACCCTTTTTACACTTCTGCATTATTGTTTATAAACTCTATGGCACTTCTTACGGCTTCCATTATATTCGTAATTCTTTACTATTTCAAATCCGGATGTTCCATAGAATTCACGGAATGTTTATTGTTCAACGTATATCAAATATACATTCCTGTTAATTGATTAATAAACTTTTCATTTAATTCCGTTTATAATGGTGTTCAAGTCGTCTGTTTATGTGGTTTCAGATATTATATAAGGCGTGTCTTCCCTCCTGCCTACTTCCCTGTCTAAAAGCCTTATTTTTGAACAAAAATTAGTGGTTTGATACATTAAAAGCGTTGCCCTCATATCTCTGTAATTTCTACAGAAGAATAATTACAAAATGTTTCCTATTCACTCAGAAACAGCACAGATGTAGTTTCATGACTGTCAAATTCGTACCGTAAACCACGAATGTAAAAAGGAATATGAAACGCAAACTGAAATGTAAATAGATAATAGATAAATAAATAGTTCTCGGATAATTCTTAAATTCGTCCCAAATTGAACGCGAACAGACAGAATCCTAAAACACTACAACAAGTATTCATGTTACGTTGATTTTTAATTTTTGGGTATAAAATATATTTAAGGGAAGTACACAAAAACTAGTAACTAAGTATGATATCTATTTATCAGGTTATTGACTGAGTAACTGAAGAGTGTATGGTCAAAAATTTGAAGACCACTTTCCATGGGAATCCTTCTCTTTGATAAAGGACTTGATTTTTAAGGTTACATTCTGACCCCCATTATATGCTACAATTTCCGATTGAAATATATAACATGTTTCTTAAGTTACATGAATGACAAATGAACCCTTATTTGTATCCAGATTGTATAATTATCTCTAAATAAATATCGCCTCTAATTTTTTTCAATGAGTATCGTGCTTCGGATTTTGAACTTTTGATTTCTTCCTGATGTGTATGATTTTAATAAATGCATGATTCATGCTATAAGTAAACAATTTAGGCTAGATTGTACCACATATTTAACTCCAGTCGCTATCGAACTGCCTGCACAGTAAGTGGTCGCTTTAACATTGTACATGCTTGTCGTTGTATGCCTCATGGTTCTTTTTTTACTTGATTTCTTCCTAATTTTCTGCACAAATTAAATATTTTCAAATCTTTTGTTATTCTGGTCGGATAATGATTTTCGGTGGATTAGCTTTTTATATTCCCCATAGGATGATTTTCTCTTATGAAATATATGCTTTTCAATTTACACTCGTCATTCAGCCAGAAGACTTCCATACCTCCTTTTTCCTGTTTGGCGAAATTCATAGGATGAATTCATCTTTGGCTATTGTTTCCCTCTGAAGCTGAACAACTAGAATTATTGTTTATTTGATGTTGAACTTTTATCATGGTCTGTCTTTCTGTTTGGCTTGAATTCTGTACAGTGTGATCTAATGTTTCACGCTTCACATTTTACGCGTCGGTGGTAATGGATTATTCGTGTGGACTCGGTCCTCATTTAAGTGGGTCACTCAAACGAAGCAACAATCCTCGACGTTCTATTTCTTCATCAAAATATATTGGGGGAATTGACTGGCGTAAGTTTGTAAAATTCTTACTTCATTGCACTCATTAGATTTCTTGTTATTTCTCACCATTCTTTGCATGCGTTTGAGTTTCCACTAATCATGCACATGTGTCTTTTTATTATAAACAAAGTGTTACTTCTAAAATTAAGTGGTCTCTATGTACAGAAGGTTTAACTATTTCATGCCTTTTATTCACTTCTCTATCTTAATTTGATTTCTGTTTTTCTTTCTATGATTTCGTCTTTTGGTTATAGGTAAAATGAAATGCTCTGAAGGATGTAGAACTTCTATATTTTCTAACGTTACAGTGTCGTTTTTTAGAATGAATTAATTTGTTAAACGAATATTACTTCTAGTTTTCTAGTTTCAGTATTCATTAATTTGACAGTATATCTGATGCATAAGCATGGATGTTTTTCATTGGGAAATCAGTATCCGTGGGCGAACAATGTAGTTTTTGTGAGTGATATGAGACAGACTTAATATCTCTTTTATCAGAAAAGAAAACAAATTACTACAGGAAATAGCATTGTGTGTTTACTCGTTGGTTTTAGATCTAGTTACTAATTGCTGTACTCACAGAGGGCAAATATGAGAAAGATAAAAATATACAGTTTATGGTGTTGTTTTTACAGTAACATTTATTCATCGCTTTCTAATATCTTTTAGTTTTTCTGTGACCATCATGTATTTGTGTTTTTGACAAACCCATGCTTCAATAAATCGTTAGAAAAGATACCTTAATATACTTTCTCGATTTGCTCAAGTGCACGACGTATACAATGTATTTAGACAGAGTTTGTCTGAGATGGCTAATTTGACAGTTAGTTTTTATCATGGACTAAAACCGATGGGAGAACCTCTGGAGAGGCGAGTCTTTGGTATGACCTGGCCTATTGTCCTGAGTGTGTATTTACTTTAGAAGCACCAGTTAGGATGAAATAGCCGTCTAGTGCTCTCTGGTTTTTATTAGTTATTGCCAGTCTTTGGTTCAAACATAACGTACTTTAGATGATATAGCGTTGTTAACTTATACGTTTGAAGCACTAGAAGTTATAGTTTTTAGCTTCGTTTTTGGCATACTTGTCATTCAGTTTGAAATGTACTGTACACTGTAATAGGTTAGTAAATCACGTGGTCTATGTACTGAGTCAGAAGGTCACTTTGGATTTTGTCAAGTGACGTCGCTTCTGGGGCAAGTAAGATTTCTTTGCACCTATCACGTAGCGAGTATACTGTGCAGTAGTTCCTTTTGTATTACTTTGTAATTGTAAAACATAACCTTTAAAAGAGATTAAAGTACTTTGGTTAGAAGTTTTTTTCAGAAAATTGCTGGCTTGTGAGGAAATCACTGGATGGGGAATGCCAGTGTTATGAGTTTAGTACCAAATAAATTTCGGTTTTTAATTTATAAGGTTATTAATCTCGACCTACTTGATTGGTTGTAAGATTTTTTACTCTTTCATTAATACCGATTACCTCCAAAAGTTATGACGACTAGTAAAGAGGTAAATTGAAAAGGATTAACAACGGTTAGACCAGTGGTATAGTATACGTCCGTATAGTCATTTACTGTTGCTTTAGGTCACATTAATAGGTACAAGTGCCTTGCTTGTATAATAGAAAATAATAGTAATAGTTTTGTCCGAACTCAGCTACTATGGAACGAGTGGGTTTTTTCCTTAACTTCTGGAACATACTATTGGTCCATAATTTTCGCTCTTCAATTTAATTTGTTTCTTTTACATGTCTCTTTTCTTTTCTACTACTACCTTCTGTAATATTTCCATCCTTTTGTTTTCCCTCTTCCTATGGTGATATAAAATGTAACGATTTGAGCTTATATGAATTCGTACAAAGTCCTTTTTTTCATGCTCATCTTTTCCTGATGTAACTTGTTGCTTTTTATTCTGACTAGAAAGCGTTTGTTATTCAAGCTACCACATACATTTTTCCTAGAAATTAGTACAGTCTTTTATCCTACTTTTATCCATTCTGTCGTTTTAGTCCATGTTGTACATGTGATCATGGTTACTGATTAATGAAGTGATATTTACTTATCTTGCTTTCTGCACATTTTCTAATATGAAAATGTTTTACCTTGTAAATGGACTATATTCGCGGACAAAGAACACCAAGCATAAAGTACTGTATATTGCACGCATTCAGTTGTTGAACCTTATTTATCGATTATGGATATCATAAATGATGTTGAGTAATTTGAGTACTGTATGACTCACTTCAATCACAGACTGAAACACTTTCAAGCTTACGTGGAAATACACTGTACTGAATCCATCCACGATGTTATGAAGTTGGTTTTTATTCAAATCAGACGTTGTTATGATGTACAGAAGTGTCAGACTGACACTGTCCAAAGTTTATTTCAAATAATTTTGATTTCAGAAAAATACAGAAACACTTAAATTACTAACTATAATATAATTTAATAATATGACTTAATTCTTTCATGAAAATAAGCAGTTAATTTGGGCAATTCAGTATTGTTTGAATGTACGAAGTTAGCTGAACTCGTTTCTTGTCAGTCTTCATGTACATAGATTGTTTTACAGTTTCAGTATGACTAAAAATGGATGCTTAGACGAATATCTATTGGTCATTAACATTTTGACTAAACTGAAGATTCTTGCTCATCAAATTATGGTATATGGATACTTCGGTTCGGGATACTGTGTAGTGTCATTAGCCCTTACTCCTAAAGTGTAGCTCATACCTAAGAACCTGGTGAATAAGTTAATCTTTATTTTCTTATATATGTATGGGACTCACCATGTACTTAACAGAGATGCTTCATGTAAATAATGTGTTATTATAAATCTGTAGTTAGGGTGTTCAGTTTTATATATATGAGCAACTTGTATGGATTAACACCAGTGACTTAAAGAGATTAGATGTAAACATTTAATAATGAAATATTCGTTGATTATTTTCAATCTAGTTGATATATCGTCATTTTATTTTGGAATATTGGGATTAAGTGAAGGTTTATGCTGTTCAATTTCATCTTACCCGAATAGTTAGCTTGATATAATGGTAACTGGTTTGCCTTACTTTAGTCTTTCAATTTTGCGATACATAATTCTTATCACTTGTACTAACAATGGTAATAATAGTAATAATAATGAAAATAACAATAATTTTCTCTCCATCAATAAATATTTCATGAAATTCTGAACTTATAGTCTTTTTCTTCACAGTGTTAGAATATTGTGACGCATACTTTTATTTTCTTATTGTTATTCAATACTCTGAATAAAAAAGATTCATTATATACTTTTAGTTAGGTGTTTACTGTTGTATTCCTAAACCTATAAATCCATGATACTATATTACTTATTAATAGGTGGGGAGAAAATCAACAGCACAAACTAAATATTAAAATGCTTTCAAATAATTAGGTATAGAAAAATAAATCTTTCAATATTTATATTAAGTGAGATATTAGACTATAACTAATGATTAGAATGGCCGGGGATTTCGATCGTCTCAGTTTGTAAAATAAATCCAAAAGTATTCATATAATAAGTCCAGGAAAACAAGTTAATAACTGAACTCTTGATGTCCTATGACTCATGTTTACTCAATGGAAAATCGAGAATAACGTACGCTAAAGAACTGGTGAACCTGGAAACATAACTGAGAGTTCATGACCTTTTCACTCTTTGCTCTGTGTTGACTAAAAGGGGCGGTCAGGCTTTTAATATAAAGTGAAGTAGATCAGAATCAGCCAAACCTTGCCATTTTGTTTATCCACAGTTTTATTCTGGTTTTCGTGTTCTTTCTAAATTGCTTAGTGTTGTCATTGGTATATTTTCTCTTTGCTGCTTTTGTGAGTTGATCAGTGTCCCGAATTTAACTGTCCCTTACGTTCTGCTAAACATGAAACAAGTATATGGACAAGTGAAGGTTATTGTCTAGTCACAAGTAATCTAAAATGTAAAATAATGATGGGTTGTAATGCTAAATGTAAAAAGACCTTGACTGGCTATTCATGACGTGTTCTCACGCCAATAAATCGTTCAACTTTGTTACTTCTTGATAACATGCGTTTTATGTTATCATATTTTTACACTAATTTCTTTCAGTGGGTCATGTTAATTTGTTTGTATGTACGGTAAGATAGTATTATTTATGACTCCGGTATCTGTTACTGACGGTTTAATGATGAAAATTCTTGGGACCTTTAAAACTATAAGTGGTTACGAGATCAAATTTTTGACCCATTTTCCTAAATTAACTTATATACAAAAACAAGAAAATCATCAAAATAGGTTTTTCTGAAATGGAAAAATGATATTTTTAGATATTGGAAATTTCAAACATAAAAAAATATGCATGATTATGTTGCTTAGCAAATAAGCGATTAGGGGACATGTATTTTTGTAGATCGATCACTCCCTAATGTAAGTAACTCTTAATCGTCGTATTAGTTTCTCATTATTCAACCAGATTTTTAGTCTTTTCCGATCTAAATATCTGATCTTCTATCTAAGGTATAATCAACTGGTTACATCTTTTAAGAAAGGTGGTTCAATAGTTAAGACGTTGAACTTTCATCTACTAAGTTTCAAATTCAAAACTCGCTCCATCTACTTCGGTTCGGTCATGCAGATAGATTTGCTATTCCTCATGCTTAGAGTGTAGTTTTAAGTTAGGTACATTAATCTGTGGCTGGTAAATCATTAAATAATACATATACTCTTTTAAAAGTAACTTTTACGACTGATATCCAGTAATCAGGTCTTTATTCATATGATGATTACTATAAAAGGAAATGAGAATAAAGGATAAAAGGTATTGTATACTGTGGTATTCTTTTTTTGTAACCGTAAACTTTCTATCGTATTTATATTAGGTTAAGGATATTTGCAATAATGATAGCTTGAGTAATTCCAAGTTGTATAAAATTGCTTTTTTAAGCTGTTTAGACTCATAATACTTTCTTGGGTTATTATTTGCCCCACTGATTTGGTTTTTTGTTTACTTTTGAACCAGTTTTGGTGTTTTGTTATAAATACGTTTGTTCATATGCGCTTTATTTTTTGCATATATTTATTTTTTTCAGACCTACGCAGTCAATTTACAGAACAGCTGAAATGTTTAGATCTTAAATTAGATATTGATTCTACTGTAGTCGCTGAACTGCAGGATTTTTATCGTCGACGAGCTAGTGTAGAACAGGATTATGCCGATGCTTTAGCTAAACTTGCCAATGGGTTAAAACAACGTCATGTGAATGAAACAACAAAGTAAGTTTTTTTCATTTATTGATATGTATCGTTGATTGTTTCATTTATGCTTGATGGTTTCCCACTGAGAATTCTGATGATGGCTTTGTTTCATTACAAGGTCAATAGTATATTGATAGACACTTCTTTTTTTGTGTATTCAAGTCATAGAATGTCCTAGTCACTTTCGTCTTCTTGTGAAGTTTGTTAAGAATTTATTCTTCTAAAAAGAAACTGTTATTATTGAAACAGTTTATTGTTGCAATATACTACGATTGTTTTAGCGCATTGTTGTATTTTATAAACAACTCTATCATTCCGCAATTTCATTATCATAGTCGACTTTGTTGTGTCTTAATCTTTAGGGAATTCGTTGTCTGATTATGTGTGTATGAATTTGAATGTGTATCGAATGTGTGGATACGCTCCTTGATGAGTGTGGTTTGGTAATCACATTCTGACTTAAATGTTGGGCTTTAATTCATACAGTGCTTGTTAATTCGTTTTACTGTATGTATGTGTACACATTGTGTTACGTAAAGCAGACTTTTGACTTAGTGATAAAAGTTCCTCCAAACTTGTTATCGAATATTCGTCAGTATTTAATCCATACCACTGGAAAAAAGTAGCTTGTACTTATTTCGGGGTTAAATTATGACAATGAGCAACGTCGCTATAAATTTATTGAAACGGTAACATAATTGGTATGATATGAAATGATTGATTTTGAGAGTTTTGCGTGTTCGCATTCACGAACTTCATAATGAACGTAATAAACGCTAGTTAATTATCACTTACTTATCATACATCTGTAGTAATTTTCTACTTCATATGTGGTTTGTATTCTTTCAGTATTTCATGTGACTTAATCAGGTTTCCTCAATTCATTTATGTATTATGGGAATATTTAATCAATTCAGCTTTGTCACAGTATATTACATGCTATATTTTTGCAACATTAAACAAGTAATATGGTAATTTTAAAATGTATTTTTGTTTGTTATCAAAGTTTCGCCGTTTAGCATTATTCGGTGATATTAAATATCATATTTCCCCCTGTGATTATTACCATAGAAAGATTGTTAATTCACTGTATTGATCTTCAGTAAATATTAAATGGTGAAAAGGTATTTATGTGTTGAAAAGTGTGTACTGTACCACTGTATAAATGTCAATTCATTTAACATTAATAATAATAATAACAACAATAATGGAGTTCTAAATTTTAGGAAAGTCGGTGACAGAACACTGGTAATATATATATATATATATATATATATATATATATATATATATATATAATCTTTATTGTTAGTGGTTAGTTACGCCTTATTTTCACTTTTAATCAGTCATGTATGATTTATGTTTCAGCTAATTAATTTATCGATGTAGTCTAAATTTATTGTTTTACTTTGAAATTTAATCAAACTAACGGTGATCAGTGGTTGAGGACGTCAAGTGATGTGGCTCAGAATCAATCATAATGATAGAGATGGATTCACGTTTTATCTTCCTTTAGGTCTTGTGTTATGGTTTTTCTTCGTGCGTATCTTTCCATCCTATTTAATTTTGTTGACTACCATTGGTGTTATAATTATTTCAACTTCTCTGGTATTCATCTTGTTGATTTTATCTTGTGTTAATATGGTGTGAAAACGTAAGCTAATGCTCGTTTTTGCTAGGCCTTACGTTAATTACAAATAACTAAATAACCATTATGTCTTCTCAGTTAGTTCGGACTAAAACATTATATCAGTCAATGAAGTTATCGATTGTTGGTCTGAGTTTTCTAGTCAGGATCCACAAAATATTTGTGATTTATATTTAGAAACCATAGGGCGACATCAGTCGAAATCATTCGGTTTCAGTGCTTAAATATTTATTTTTTGTCTTCATTAATATCTTTAGTTTTGGTACTATTATTCCATACCTTTCATTCCTCTATTACATTCATTTTGTTGATTCAACAATTGATACCATCATTTTATCAACTTTGTCGTCTTATTGATTTTCTTTCTCTATGTTCGTGTTAATTTTACAAGACGTTTGTTTGAGCTCCCATATTTTTTGTAGTTGTTCAATAGCAACTTTGATTTTGCCGATTATCTTTGGTTTTATAATTATTATATAATCTCTAGGGAACGGTTTCTGTTATTGATGCATTGTTTCTTTCGTCATTTGTTTTTCTAAATGAAAGTAGGATTAGATTGATTAGATATTTTTTGCTACTGAAGTTTCGTCTTTGTTTTCACATAAGATTCTCCTTTGACAATGTAGCTCCATTAAATGCTTTCGTAGGATTTTTAAAGACACTTGAGGTAACTAATCTCTTAAAATTATAATGGTTTGATTATTTTCTCTTATTTTTTTTTTTCTGTTTCAAAAATATATTTAGACGCCCTCATTGGGCGCCTTATACAGCAACTACCATATGGAATACATTACTTGGTTCAACATTACATCTAGCTGAAGCTCATGCAACCTTATCTGATATTTTCTCGAAACAAATGGTTCAACGTTTAGCTGATATGGATGAAGATGCTGTTCGTTTGCACAAACAGGTGAAGTTTTTATTTTGTGTGTAATTAGGAAAATAAGTTTAAGTTTTCTATGTTTTAGCATAATATCTTATTTGAAACAATGTAATTAGACTATTATTAAAGTTTTATTAACTTTTTTGAGCATAATATTTCGTTTTATTGTATTAGTGTTATATCGCGGTAACTAGGACCTGTTGAGATTTATCTAATACGAATGGGAAATAATACGAATTCGATAGTACAGCCACTGGCACACGACAACACTTCAAAGTTAACAGTCCACATGTCGATAAGAGACAAAGAAGACTAGATTTTCACTATATCTTTATCTACTGAACGGAAGTCAGAAAAACCAAAACTAAAGTGGAATAGCTCTATTTATACAGCAACTTAGTAAAAGTAATATATAATTAGCATTGGAATTAAATAGATTTAATAAAGGTTATCAGATGATTTTTCTTCATGTTTTATCAGTTATTAATATTATCGTAACAAATCATGAGTTCTTTCTGGCTGATTTTACATAGATTTTAGTCATCCTCTTTCATATGTTCTTGCAATATATTTGATAATTTATTTCATTTATTGATAATATTAAACAATATATACATTAGACCTTATTAATGATTTTTTCTCAGTGTTAAATAATATTGTAGTTAAATCACAAATAATTCTTGGTGCACAAAACTGTTAGCGTAGAAAGTGGGATAAAAGTGTATATTGTTCAAGGTAAAACACCTCTTAACAGAATGTCAAGGTAAAATCTATAAAATGATCGAAATGTTAAAATATATTAGAAGGTTATCAGACGTTAAGAGAACATGAGTGATAATTAGGTGATGTACTAAAGTTTCAGTTGGTAAGAAGTCGATATATCTTGTGCATTCTATTTGTTCACGAACCTTATAACATACTCTCTTCAGCCACTTATTTTTATCATCCAGTACATTGGAATCTCCCTTCACTACTCATGGACTGACGAAATAGTTTTTTAAGCTAATTCTGTAAGTTTGTAATTGGTTACTTTTCGTATGTTTGTAAAATCGAAAAATTAAAGTTTCACACATTGATTTATAGTTATTTATTTTTAAATTTGCTTCGTCAGTAAGCGATTCAACCCAGTAATCATGTACTTATATATGCACTCAACATCAAACCACTTTTCAGTTGTGGTCGTGTGATGCTCTTTCCGACTGTACAAACTAAAGTAATAGTAGTGGGTTTCGAACCTGTCATTTTGTAGTTGAAATATAAATGCCTTAACTAGAACTTCACTTATGAGTTGAATCATTATGACATTCTTGACAAATATTATCCTTCTATAACATTTTTCCGCTCCAAAAACAACCAACCTTGCCACATTTTCAATATCGAAGACTTTGAAAGTTGTATCACGTACTATTTAGTATGCGATAGTTTATGACTGCTATCTACAAATAAAGTTTTGCCTTGAAATATGTAATTTGTCAATAATTTCTTGTGTATGGTCAAGTGTGTGAATGTGTCTGAACATTAATAAGATCACTTAATTCGTCAAGAATATTTACATTTTTGCCTATCCAGCTGCGTTGACTGATTGATATGTTTGGTTATGTTTATTGGAGAATGATTTTTGACAAAATTCATTTCACTGTATATATTTATATATAAAGGTCATTCTAGAAATTATTATTTAATCTGTGAAATAGTCTTATTTTATTACTATCTAAATAGGTCATGATTATTTTTGTTCCAAAATAGTTTCATTCTATTTACTTATATCATTTCTATTTAATGACATTTTTGTATTCTATAAAATTGTTTTAATACCTATAGAGTATATATCATCATTTGTGGCAATGTCTTTGACCATTAACAATGAAATAAATAAAGTTGTTTGGTTTCATTATTTTTCACCTCTGGATTGATTCCAGTTGAATTGATTGTGATAATAATGAAAGTAATTAAATCAATATAAAAGGTAGTGATGTGATACAACGTAAATTAGTTCTCGTTGCGATACTTTGTTCCTTATGTCTCCGTCTCTTTTTTATCCAGGCACTCAATTTTCAATCACTCGATCAGGGTCAAAACCTACCTGTGCTTTTCACATTTCAGTTCCGTTTTAGTCCTGTTGTGTAATTGTTAGTCATTTAATCAATAAATCTCAGTGCTTGTGAAGTTAAATCATATTATTTTAAATATTTTTGTTTTGATACATTTTCTAAGAATATTTTCTTTCAAATTCATTGTATATTAATAATTTTCTCTTATCAGTGTGAAACTTGGGATTGCAATAATTCAATACTTATGTGGTGTACGCTACTTATGTTAACATATATAAGTAGTATGTAACACCAATTGGAAGTGGAATACAAGACATCAGAAGGTTGAAAAGATCGGACTGAAGACTGTTTGCATCACTGTTGTCTTCAGTTCGATCTTCTCAATCTTCTGATGCCTCGTATTCCACTTCTAATTGGTGTTACATACTATTTTTTATTATTTATTTAAACACATAAATATTGGTACAAAAAGCACCAGATAAATATATGCCTCACAAATCTCATTTGATTTGTGTGAGGGCTGAGATACTACCCAGGTGCCCAGACTGAAGCAGGTGGTTTTCTTAGGGAGCCATACACGGAGCCTTTGACCTAAAGGTCTGATCCACAAAGCAGTGGAGCATCGTGAGGAGATGCAGTCCCATAGTAGCCGGTGACCAACAATAGGTTCATACGCCATTCGTTCCATCAGGATCCTGGAGCTCGTGTACACCATTGGTTTGGAATGAGGGTTTTCCAACTCCCCTAGGTGGGCCCTCCATGTCCATCAACCCGGTTAAAGCGCCGGACATTCGCTCTTCGTCCTCTCACTTTCGTAAATAACACCCCCACCACGAGAAGGCAGTGAGTAGGACTTCCCTGGCAGAGGCTATATATTCGCGTGGCCATGTGAGAGCATTTGGAGAGGGAGAGCGGACTCTCCCCACTCTCGGCCGTACCAGGGCATTTGGGGCGTGTTATACTTATATCTGCAATATAAGTAGCATACACCACTCATCATTTTCTTTCGTACTTTTAATTTTTAGTTAAATTTCCCTTGTTACTTTTTATTATAAATTGTATCTTATCGAACCTATCTGCGTTTGTTCCAGATTTAACGTTTCTACATCTGTGTCAAGTTATTGGTTACTTAGAAATGAACTAAACTGAATATTCTAGAAAACATTTTATTGTTGCTAAAATGCGTTCAATAATGTGAAAGGATACGTCAATGGTTACTGTACTTAGGATAATGGAACGCTAAAATTCGTCATTTTTTCTTAGGATACCTGTAATTATAGGTTAGTTAGGTTAAATACTAATTGATGTACCTAGGAATATAAACGGTCGGTTAACAACTCAGTGGTCTAAAGGTTAAGCGCCCATCGTGAATATTTTAGGCTTGGTCCGTAGATGGGCCATAAATATGTGCCTCAGGATACTCCCATACTGAGATGAAACAGTTATCAAATACTTCATGGTCTCCACTGGTTGTCTGAATAATTTCAGTTCGCGATTTAAACTATGAAATTTAACAGTCTTCACAAAACCCCTAAACCAGTAAACAAATAATTAAAATAGTTGAGATCATGAGTCATTTGGAGTTAGACCACCATGCAAAGTCTGGAAGCACTGGGTGACCATTTCATCCTATTGTGGGACTCCTCAGCAGTGCGCATCCACGATCCCACCTCGCGAGGGCCGACCCCAGGACCTATCAGTCTCGCGCGAAAATTATTGTTATAGTTCAACCAAATGATTTCGACAGATCATCGCGATATTCAGTGCTTTATAAAATGATCTAGCATGAAATGCGTACAACTTTTTTTATTCTAATAAGGCTAAACACTTCTGTATTTAACTTGTTATAACATGGCTTACTGCTCAAACGTTATTGTTAAGTATGATGGATATAATCGTATCAGAAATACTTACTTTTTCTGTCGTAAAAAACATTCTCATTATCAACAAAAGTATATATAAAAAGAACAAAAACAAAGAATTAAGGTTGGAACTTACGAAATAAAATGAATTCATATCTTTCTATTCAATTTTTTATTCTTGTTCTCTTCAAGATAATAAGGGGAACCACATATATGAAAATTTTGTAATCTTGGCAAAACTTGTTCATTGAACTATCAGTGATTTGTATTTGATTCAAAATATTGTCAAATAACTTCATAGTATCATTGCAACCATAAATCAGAGTCATCGTATTGGAAATCAATACGTCCAGCTGACGAATGAAAATCGGTTAGCTATGTGATCACTTATGTCCATTACTTGTTGTCTTGTCAATGTCAACTAAGTTGTCCGTCAGTTTCTTACTTCTGGTTCATTTCAACGCTTTTCTCTCCTTCCTTTTCTTCCTCACTTATATCCTCTTGTCGTGTGAATAATTTAGAAACTTGAATCGATGAACTCTTGTTCAGATTAACTGTCTATCTATCTATCTATCCATCCATCCATCAGAAAACACTGTTTTTCACTAAGTTTCATTGTTAAACTTATTGTGTTTATAATCTTATCAACATAAATTTTGTTGTCAAACCTGATACAAATTCTTTTTTTCTAAATTGACAATTTAAACGCATCCCTATAGTTTAAATAAAAGATCTATCCTCTGTACTCATTGAAATATATCATTATTTTCGGTGAAACTCACTAATCGAATACAAAATGATTAAGTATGAAGGCTGGTGATAAACTGCTCAGCTATCCAAATCGAAGTAAGTAAAGTAGATTATGTCAACACCCCCTATCTTCACCAGAATGTTGCCACTCAATTGGTCAAAACTATTTAAATAAAGTTTTACTTTACAATTTTCATCGTTTCTTAAATCATAAGTTTATTTCCTGTTTTGTTTTGTTATTGACTACTTCATAAGTTGATTTGTGTGCAACTGAAGTTCACTATTTATTTCTTCTCGTAGACTTGAAACTTTATTTCTTTTGTGCTTATCTTCTATCTACGTACTAATCAACATTTTAACACCATACAATTCTCTGTATGGTTTAATAACTTTTTTTTCCATTCAATTTTATTCTTATATTCGCTCACATAGTTTGTTTAGTGATAGGATATAAGATAAAAAAAATTCATAAGCCTTTTTACGATGAATTTATTGAGCTTGTAACAATTCGATATTTGAATCGTAAATGCAATGGTAATGTAACAGGTTGGAATATGATAATCAACTTTAGTATGAGCAATTTGACCTATAAATTCAATAGTAAAATGTGTGTGTCTTTATAAGAAAATAATGTGTTATGAAGAGAATCTTATGTAGGAGTTTTGTAACTGTTAAGTAAATAAATCCACTGCTAATCGATCGATGATATTCAAGGAGACGAATTGAGGAAGACCGAGTTATTGATTTAAACTCCTAGTTGGTCTGATATCGGAAGACAAATAATAGAATAAATTTTTGTTTTAACAAAATAACATACTCAGAAGGGGTTTTGTGGAGATTTAGTATTTTCATTGTTGAAAGCATGAGTCAATTGAAGCTGGACGGCCGTGCTTCCAGGTTTTCCCTGGTGGTCTAGCTTCAATTGACTCATGCTTTCAAATATGAAAATAATATACCTTATTAGAAGTCAATCAACAAAGAAAGGATTGAAAGACATGACAACTTTAGATCATTCAATTTGCAGTAGAACTAACCCTTGACTATCAAGTTTAATTCTTGCCCAATCATATCATAGTGATTTCATTTGCTTGCTTTTTTCCGCATTACATAATAATTCTAAACTTACCGATAATACTTCATAAAATTCATTGTATTTCACATAAACCAATATATTGTCTTAATTGTTTATTCGATGAATGTGTGAAGGTGAAATTCTTATAGTAATATTTACTTTCTTGATTTGTGTAGGTTGTACAATTGTAATTATACTTTGCCTGTTTCTGTGATTCGACTGGTCTATATTAGTCCTTGGGACTGTATAAAATGCAAATAGAAATGGAGCTCTCTCTCTGTATATATATATATATATATATATATATATATATATATATATATATATATATATATGCACTTTTATAATTGTAGGATTATTGGCTACAGTCAACAAAAAGCACTAAAAGCGGGTAAAACGTATAGCTGTATGTTTCAGCTAGTCATCATTGTAAAATCTGGAATTGTATAGGTTGGATGGTGTAAAATATGTTAAAGTTACTTTATTAAGTAATGATGTTACTATTTCTGTAAACGTTTGAAGTGAATGTGTAAGAAGGAATAACAAATGTAATAATAAGAGTAATCTTGTTACTATTAATTTTAAAATGATAATTATTCCTATTGTGGGACTCCTCAGCAGTGCGGCCGTCCAGTGCTCCCAAGTTTTCCATGGTGGTCTAGCTTCAATTGATTCATGATCTCAACTATTAAAATTACTATAATATCCACAAAAACCCTTCTGATAATTAATCATTCAAATCTATAGGTAGATACATAGTATCATTGGGTGGAGAATACTGTGTCTGAAGAAGTGGTTAGTGTTGGATTTTGGTTTATTTTATCTCATCGTACCTTTAAAACTAGGAAAACAAACATTTTTCTACATAATTTTACTTTATATAATTAAAATAATAACAAATCTATGTATGTCACAGTAATAATGTACTCAATTAGTGGGATTTTATAGTTATTTGTTTGGCTTCTAAGTAATATTCGTCATGGATTGATCTTATTCAGTGGGTACATACTATCCTAAACATCAAGCCTAAGACCTTCAATGCTCATAATGAACCCCTAACCAATGTACTGCTCGATTGCCATATAGTGATACATATTTGCAACTTCAATCGATTCATACTGTAGCACGATGATCACTCAATAAAATTGTTTAGTACGATTTCAATCGTAACATCGTTCGGCTTTACCGGTCACAATTTATCATTGAAAGTTTAGGGAGTTATCTCAAACCACGATTATGATATTCATGGGTTTTGTAAAGATCAGTTGAAATTGAAAGTGGTTTACATTACAGACTGACCCCAATTGTAAGGGAATAACCGTCGTTTTATTTGATGAATTGGTTAATGTTGGAAATATGTACCAGTAGACGCTAACTTAATAATATAACAGTTAAGCGCTCATCGCGAAACCTGAGGGTTTTGAATCTGATCACCGACAGGGTCCTGGATGCTCACTCTTCAGAAGTCCTGTACTGGGACGAAAAAGCTGTCTAATATTCCTTGTTTTTTCACAGTACCTCAACCGAGGTCACTCTGTGACAAATGCCATCTGAAAGTCTGCTTAGTTATTTGTGATTTTTTCAACTATCATCGGACTAAATAAAAAGTACCTAGCCCAATTTTTGTTCTAATTTAATGTCAGTGAAACGTTTTCGTTTTGTCTGTATAGTTAAGAAAATATGTCAATGTTTGTATTTTATCTGTGTAGTGTCGTGAAATGATGTCCTCATGTCAAGATCGTGTTTTAGCCAATACTACTAAACTCCAGGCCGATCAACGTGAATATGCACATAGGCAAGCTGCAGCATTAGAAGCCGATCGAATTCGTCGTCGTGCTGAAGATAAACTGTTAGCTGCTAATCAAAAAGCCCGTAGTAAAGGCAAAGATCCTGATAATAGTCAACGGTCTATGCGAGCTCAAAACGAATTCGACTTGGTTAGTGCACAGATATTATAACACTTTTGCTTATATCACAATGAGAGATTTGATTTTATTTCTTTTTCTTCCTCACCATGTTTTATCCTTCAGTGTTGTATGGGAGGGTGTTAGTTAATATCATGGCTAGAGTAATCACGCCCAAATTTGAAAACAAGAAGCAACATAATTAATTTATACCGATTGCCGAAACCAGAACTAATAACTAAATAATAATATAGGAAACAGATTTATTCTGTAATGGTCACAAGTTCCAATCACTGGTATGATAAAAATTATTTGACAACAAAGTTAATTGCGATTGATTAATGGTCACTGGTCGGATCAAATATCATTCATGTTTCTTTTTAATGTTCTGACTGAATCTGTGCTTCAACCACGAATTTGGAGAACGCCAGACACAATGCTTGCCACAGTTAGCGAATTTGGCTTCAAAAGATGAGACATTAATGCAGTTGAACAAAAATTGGTATTAACACTCTGTGACTGATATAACAGTTTTTTTAATGAGCGAACAGATTTTATAAACTTTAAAAAATTTCTGTGTGATGGTACATACCATCTAAATGGACATTCAGAAAAGGATATACCGGCTCTACGATACTGGTCCACTTATTCTTACATAAGTTGTTCTTACACAGTTGTCGGTGTGATATATTTCAGACTGCGTCAGTCAGTACAGTTTTGATTGACTTATTTTTCTACGTCTGACAACAGCGTTGCTTATTTGATTGTTTGGTGACATGTGGATGGTACTTTGATTATATCTGTAGCAGCATTCTTGTAACTTGCTCCGATTTTTCACAATATACATCATTTGCTGTAAAACTGAACTGTAGTCAGTATATTCACACTTTAATACGATTTTGGATATCTCTTCGATTCCGTGAATATCGTCGTTCAACACAATGTCGACCAAGTCTACTTTGGCAATACCCATTAGTCAATCTTCTTTGGTTTAATTTTATGTATCATTTAAACAAGCTTGATTATAACTAGTGCCAAATATTGAAAACAGCTGTTAATTTTTGAAAGTTCTTTACAGATAGGATCCAAATATAATGGATGAGAATAAATATAGCAGTTCATAAAAAATAGGAAAATATAAGCTCATTGTCCTATATTTCAGTGCTATAATGCAGTTATAATGTACTGTTACTACTTTTGACTTTCAGTAGCACATAGTATTCTTCAACCCTATACTTATGACTAGGTTAGTAAATATAGATTCAATCTTTATACTAATATACACTTGCTGAATTCTGAATATCACTTTAACAAAGTGACTGAAACAATATAATTTATGCGAAAACATGTCATAAATAACTTTTTTCGACTTTTTCACCTATATACATTGTTTATCACTGATTATTTCTGTTTCCTTTGTCATTTAGTTTTTACTTTGTACAAAGTTACTTAATCAATCTCTCTCCTCTCTCTGCTTGTGTATCAAATTATTCCACCTACGATTGATTTCTTTGTGAAACTAGATTATGGATCTATAAAATGCAGTATTTATTCTTAATCATAATCTTTGTTGTTATTGTTTAGTTATCTTCTATCGATATACCAAAGATGATTTGTACTGAACATTTTGAACCTGTTTACTTTTTATCTTTCCTTTGCTTGCTTTTTTTGCATTTGTATTACTTATTTTCTCCTTACTTTTACTGTTCAGCTAAAGAAGGATGTACAGATATTTCTAGTTTTTATATTGTATGCCAATAATGGATAAAGTTTTTTTCTTCTAACTATTCGTCTGAAAGGATATTAACATAGGATGTTAGGTTGAAAAGTTAACAATAAATAAAGCGTCGAATTTATACGATTTGTTACAAAAACTATCTTTTCTTCGGTGATTTTATGAACAATCAATACTCTGAAGTTTCTAAGAAGTACCTTGAAGTAAAAATCAATTTGGTTTATTAATTTCTAGTAGTTTGCCTAATACATTTGATCATGCCATTATAAACAACTTTTTTATTGTCAGACAGCAAGATTAACGTGAGTTATTCTTGTTCATTTGTGTATAATCAACTAAAGATTTGTTTAACGTTGGTAACTGAAAAGCCATGAAAAGAAGTTGTTCAATCTCATATTTTCTGCACTTGAAAGAATCATGTGAATCTCAATTCTTATTTATTTAATTGAAATAAACTTGTTACAACATTGAGAAACGAAGATTAAGCCTTATTTCCAAAATATTAATTCATGGAAAACTAACATTGAGTGGGCGGGGGTCTACAAATTTTTAAAACTGAATGCCTTTGGTTCAGAAGAAGAATTGAATTCACTCTGTATTTTCGAGGCCTAAATAAGCCAATATATTTCTATTTTACTGTACTTTTGTACGGTTGTAATTAATGACATTGTCGAAGTTTCCTTTACTTTTATTCTTCCGATTCGTGTCTATGGTAAATATGGTCTCTCAAACTAAATGAATAAATGTTTTTTCATCACAATAATGTAAACTCTTAATCTTAGTTATCAGCTTTCCAATGAGTCCAGAAACGCTTGAAGCTAAATTTGTTTTGTCAAGATGGAAAACATTGTCTGATCACTCAAATTAATACATCTAAATAGTGTATAAATTTACAATTCAGTTGTCTAAAAGAATGAAGACTTAGGCATTGAGCTAAAGCTACTTCACGAAATAACGTCAAGACATCATCTTAAAGATAATAAAGCTTGCGATTGTTGTACTTTTTTATGGTGACTTAAAAGATATCTACCAAGTTTAATTGATGTTAAATGGTAGTACAATTTAAAATATAAAATATTCATGATGTTAGACAATTCTATGTATTTTACATTGATTATTTCCTGCTGACTTTGTGTTCAAAAGTCAAGAACAATGCGAAGTATTTGTAAAATGTGTTTGTTGTAGTCTATCATTGGAAGTATGTAGTCAATGTAATGTGCATGTTACTGGTCGACGCAAATATGTACACATTTCTTTCTTCGCACTTATAAATATTCTAGAGTAACATTTATCTTAAGCAGCAGTGTCTCATTTCTTCATATAGAATTCCAATTTATCTTAAGTAACATATTTTTTCCGTTCATCTTGAACAATTAAAAAACGGTAAAGTTATGAAATAAGAAGCAAGCCCGTTGATGACTCATTTACATTTTCGATAAACTTTTTCTGCTGCACTAATTAGACGCTATTCTCATCTTTAAATTGATTTGAACATGCTCTTTAAATTAATTTGAAGAATTGAATGTTTCATGAACTGGTGATTAATCTTTAAATGAACATGATCTGCGTGTATTGATCAATCTAAAGTCAAATTCCATCATTTAAACTGAATGTTTAATCATTTTGAGTATCGTGTATGCCCAAGTTTTCTTCATTACATGAGTCATACGAACGATACGTTGAATTGCTTACAGTGGTCGATCAGCTATAGGAAAAACAATATAGTGAGATCTATCATGTATTTTTCAAGATTTTACCTACAATGATTAACATTATAGAGAGTGATTTTTCACTTGAGATCACCTAGCTAAGTAAGCAGCAGGATGTGGTCGATTTTATCCACAAACGGAACATACGGATCATTAACATTATTATTCATATTAAATCAAGGATTTTTACGTTTTTGATTCATCTTGTAATATGATGAGGATAAGTGTTATCTGAATTAACTTTGTCACTTCCGAATTTTCAGCTAAACTGAACTATATATAATCTTATGGTTTTGCAGTACTGTTTAAAATTGTTAAAGGATTGAACTCACTGTTATCTTCGAGAAATTTTTAAATTTCCACGTAAGAGGATCACGGTCATCTAATTTATTATTGGCTTAGAAAGATTTCTTATTCAGTGATCACTGTTAACTAAGAGCTTAGTTTATCCATCCATTTATGCATCTTTTTGTTTGTTACTATTATTATAATAAGACTTTAATGTTTTGTTACATGATAGAAACAAGCGAATTATATCAATGCAACTTTATCAACAACTCGTGCACGAAATGAATATTTAATACAGTTGGCTGCTACTAATCACAGTGTTCAACGTTATTTCACTCAAGAGGCGCCGGATATAGTTGAGGTAATGTCATTTTCATGAGTATATATATATATATATATATATATATATATATATATATATATATTAGTGCGAATACGTCCTTCAAGATAGCAGATGTAAACTGCTATTTAAGGCGTACGCCAACATGAATAGTTTGCTGATTTCGCCCATCATTCCACCTTAGTATAGTGGTTAATGGTGTAAGTTTTCTCAGCACATTATTCAACAAAAATAACGATCCTCCTATCTAATACGTCATTCATTCTTGACGGAAAAGATACAGTGTTAACTGTAAAGACAGTACTCGTCAGTAGAGAATATCGAGGAAATGGGTCCGCTGAATTTGCGAGACCTACTTTTTATTTCAGGAGAAGAATCCTCATCGAAAATATTCATAATGGATAAAAGCACCAAGTGGTTTTGATAATTTCTTCACATAATTAAACAGAAAAAGCATTATGATGTCACTGTGTAGATAATAATATAATGAACAAATACCATTGATTTGATGAGTAATATTTATCAAGTTTTATTGATAACACGAGCATGGTAACATGGATGATATATATTTTATCAAGAATAAAATACACAATCTCAAAACTTTTGAATCCGCTCACATCAACATGACAGTAGTTAATTAACATATGCGGAGCACTGACTCAATGGTTAGGACGTATGACTTTTAACCACTAATTTACAGTCTCCAACTCCACTCCATCTACTTCAGCTAAATGTACTGATAAGTAACTTAGAAAAAGTATTTCAATAATTTTACATACAGAAACTGTTTTATTTTCGTCGGTCAATTATTGTTGCACATAAAACGTTGATATTTAGTTTTGAGTTAGCAATTGGGATTTCCAAGCAATTTTAGTTACTTATGGTTCACTAATTTCTACTTATAGGAACTACTCTTTTTACATGCAGCTGCCTTAGTAAATTTTTTAATACGCTATGTTATTTATGTTCGTTTGAATTGTTTCGTTACTATCAAACAGTTCATCACTCGATATTAGTAAATAAAAGAGAGTTGATGATAACACTCTCGCGTATGTATCATCCAAAAACTAATAATGGTATTTAAAAAGTTAATTAGTTGATTAGTTCAGATGAACATATGTGTCAGATTCTATAATGTTTATGACTGACTGATTGGTGTATAAACTACTGAAAAATTGCTCATCGAACGACTTGTGTTTTTGCTTACCCAGTCCCTACCCTAGAAAACTAATTGTAATAAATGTTACCGGTTCTAATAAGTGACTAGCATCATGGGAGCGGTGGCCTAGCTGTTATGGCTCCCGATTTCTAGCCACTAAGTCCCACTTTCAACCTCCGTCCACCTACTCTGGTTTGAGCAATCGGATAAGTTTCATTATTAGTCCTCGCTCTTAGAGTGTGGCTCACAGCCGAATACTTGGTGAATGAGTTAATTTAATTTGAAATTAATTATTTTACGTGTATTTTATCATCACTATCTGAAGAATAAATGTCAATCCACTAAACTACTGTTTGTCATTACTTATAAACCATTGTTAATCTTATTTTTTCGCCACGGATCATCGGATACACCATCCTATTTATTTATTTAAACACATAAATATTGGTACAAGGGGGCACCAGATATATATGCGCCACACAAGACAATGAAAATGAGAAAAGAAAAGGGGTAAGGTGCACATAGAAAAAAAGAGTAATGATGAGGGAAACTGAGAAGTACAACCAGAACTCTTTCAGTTAAGGAAGTTATAAACACTCTTTTTGAAGAAAGTAAAAGAAGGTTACAGCAGGATCGCCACTGGCTTCTATTCTGAACCATAACATCTCTAGCCACTGTGTTGCACCATCTCTTGGACCTCAGTCAGGGAGTCTTGAAGGACCAACAGAAGTCAGCCCTTTGCAGCTTTCTTTCATACCACGACACGATGTCATACACTGACCACCTCTCTGCTTTTTCCAATCAGTCCCAGAGTCGGGAAATAATGCACGACGTGAATTCTCTGGGACGACATTCGTAGAACATGTCCAAGTCGCCGAAGTCGGTGTTTCAAGATGGTGACATCGATCGTGTTGTTGTCTCTGCGCCCAAAAACACGATGCTGAACCTCTGCATTACTAACATAGTGTTGCCACTGGATGTCAGCAATCCTACGGAGACAACGATAACTGAACACAGAGAGTTGCCTAACATCCTCAACTCGGAGAGGCCAGGTTTCACAAGCATAGAGCAAGACTGCTCTCACCGACGCGTTGTAGATCCGACATTTCACAGCCAGACTAACATCACGAAGGCGCCAAAGATGGCCCAGATTGGCATAAGCCGCTCTGCCTTTCACTATATGTGAATCAATTTCACCACTCACGCCAACACCAGCACTTATGTAGCTACTTAGATACACGAACTTCTCGACTACTTCAATCTGCTCACCACCCAGGGTGAGTACAGGATTAGAATCCTGCCAGTCTTGTAGAAGTACTTTGCCCTTCGAAGGTGCAAAGCTCATACCGTACCTGAGGACACTGATTACCAAATGATTAAGTGCGGATTACATGGCTTAGGCATCATCGCACAGTAAGACAATATCATCCTCGTACTCAAGGTCGAGAAGTCTTTCTCCAGGCAACATATCCACATCGCCATTACTTACATCCATCAGAGCTGTTTCCAGAATGTCATCGATGGCAAAGTTGAAGAGGAATAGTGAGATTGGGCAACCCTGTCTAACCCCACTGCTTGAATAGAACAATGCTAGCCACTATCCATCTTTGCTTACAATGGAGAAAGGTGGTTGTATACCCTTACTCTGCCTGAGGTGTTTGTATAAAGGGCATTAAGATGTTAATAAACTTATCAGGCACACCCTTCTTCAATAGACAATTCCAGAGAACAGTCCTGTCCAACGAATCGAAGGCAGCCCTGATATCAAGAAACATTACGATTGTTGGCCTGTGATAAGTATGACGGTGTTCTTACATTTGTCGTAGGGTGAAGAAATGTATCGTTTACTATTGATCTTGTGAATTTCATCTAATTGTGTTAGTGTGGTATAGCAACTTGGGCCAGTACATATATATAGCCAGCCTGTACATTGGCTATGGCTGACTGACTAGTTAACTTAAAGTTTCCATTGAATAATTTTGTCAATTTATTTAAATCGTAATCACTGATTTACTACTGTGGTGTATGATATTTATGTCGGCAGACGTAAGTAGTATACAACACCTATTGTAAGTGTAAAACCTGGCAGCAGAAGACTAAGAAGATCAAGTGGGATCGAATAGAAAGGAAAATCGAAAATAATTGTGAACTGAAAGATTTATACAGCATGTGAAGGACAAACGGTGGAAATTTGCGAATGTAGTATTCAGTGTATGGTTCTCATATTTTACCAAGAGGTTCTGTAATTTTGTGTTTAGATACAGTCGGTTGTTCTTACCTGTGTTCTTGTTTGTTACACTATTACTGTAGCTGCTTACTGCTTTCTACTTCTGTTTAACTAATCTCCACCTGAAAACCACACTTATATATATATATATATATATATATATATATATATATATCGTACTTTGTTCACGTCTTACTTTTCCTGTTTTCCTATCTCTGTCTCTCTTTTTAGTGCTTGTTTTGTGGTTTCCATAATAGTCTGGCGCGTTCAGCAATGATGCATTTAAGTTGTGAAGAAACATTGAAATCATGTCATGGTTCAATTGTTGAAATGTTAAACAGAAATATTACAGCACTTGATTTACGACAAGATAAAGCATGCTTTTTTAAACGTAACGAACAAGTGTATACACGTCCGGGTTATTTTAAATTTATGCCATCCAAAGAAGATATTGTAAGTGTATGTGTTATCTATACTGTTGCATTGCGATTAACCTTACATGTAGTTGATTTTAACAATTATCATTGGTCAATATGACGATGATATTGTTGCTATTATTGTTCAAACATGAAGCTCCCATTGAATTTTATTCAATCAATATACATAAGTATTGTGTTTTGATTAGTTAGTTAATAAAATGAATGAATATCTAATTGGTGATTAATTTGCGCATTAAACTGTGTTATGGTATTGAACTTGGGTATTGATCTACGTTGAGTTTTAGAATGTTTTTCTATATACATTCGATTCCTTAGTTGTACTTATTAGTGTCCCGTTAAGTAACAATGTTCACTCCATAATGACGATTCCAAGTTTACCTTTATTATTTCAGCTATCAAGACCACAAATATTTTCTGATTTTAATCTTTTTCATGTCATTCTTGTTGTGTTATGAGTTTCCATATTAGTAATGATGACCTACACACTCTCCTATATGCTTTCGTTTATCAATTAATAGTAATACCTAATGATATCATTTGTATTGATGATGGTTATAATTACAGTTGTATTTTCTTTCATTCTATCCATTCCCCATCTTCACTGAAATATTTTTTTACCAATGAGATAGTTGTAGTGATATACTTCATTTGATTTGTGTTTCTAACCTTTTCAGATTTTAGTACAGGGTGTTTTTTCGATAAATATTTAATCTACACAATAGTATAAGGTGTATTACTTGCCTGATGCACTCATAATTCCCGTTCCTCTTACCGTTTAATGGAAAATCACAGTGCAAACTAATAAATATGGTATTTTTTAATTACTTTTTGAACTATTTGTATTTATATATTACAAATATGTGCTGGATTTCAAATTATAGGAAAATGCTTTAAATATTGATACCTTGTATCATTAAATAAATAAGTCAATGCTTTATATATTTAGGCTTATATTCTTTGGTGAATAATCACACTTATATGGTCGTGTTTCAATGTAATTTGGTTTTTGAAGTGCTTTTTGGTATTTATTCAATTGTCAGCATTTCTCTGTATTATTTGTCTATTGTAATTTGCTAATCGTGCTGAATTCGGTAAAAAAAAGGTTTCTATGGTCTGTAGATTCGCAAAAAGTAATTTAGAAGAATTTATTATTATTAACTCACTAACAAGTGCAGATTCATGTACTCGTGGCCTTCAGCCACACTTAATTTGCGAGGTCTGTTGAATACTACTCAGTTACTCAAACCAAAGTAAATGAAGTTGAATGCCGTTCCACTCAGACATAAAAATGGAACGAAAGTTCATAGCTGTCAGATTATGGCTTAGTTATTAACGCACTCATTTTTTCTACCTGTAGGTTATAGGTTCGAATCCCTCACTCGCTTACAGTAGTTAAAGCAAGTAGTTAGTATCTCTAGCAAATTATTGCAATAGTATGGCTTGAATTTGTGTACATAAAGGTTGCGCTTGTTAAATTAGGTACACAATTTTCATCTAATTATTATTTATCATTCATGTAGACTGGTTAAACTATGTTATACAGTAGTTTGTCGTTGTTATATTTTTATTTCTTTGGAAAATATACGTATTAGAGAAATTGTAATTAGAAGTGTATTGGTTTTAATTTAATACTGCTTTTATCGTTTAGGATAGTTGTATGTTGATAAGAGGGTATATTGATGACGAACCACTGATCACTATAAATATTGTATTATTGTGCTCTCAATAATGTTTATTTATATATGTTTTTAGTTTAGAGATGAGTGTAAAACAATATGAGTAAATATTTTTTACATATTTTTAATATATTCTTGTATAATTGGAATAATTATTTACTTGAAATAAAGACATTTTTCTAGGTTTGTTTAGTGATGAGTACGTTCTATATTTATATAAACTATATTTTCATAGGAAGATCATATTCGTCCAGACGGTCCATTGTATGATGAACTTCAAACAACAGCTAGTCAACTTACGGCTAGTATCGAAGCACTCCGGGTATCGACAGATGAAACTTGGAAGACACTAGAAGAGGTATTTTTGTTATTTTGTTCCTATGTATATGTTTCGATTAAACTAGATTGCTATGTTAATTCATACATTTCTTCACATTTCTCAGTTGATCTGCTTAATCGGATTTTATCTGTTCAGCTATACGAACTAAATAATGCTTTTGTTCTCTTACAATTATTGCTTGTTAGTAGTTTGTAGGTAATTAGTTTTTTTGTTTTATACAATCAATCTGTCGAAAAATTACGAGCCTACATCAAAATATATTCTAGCGTTTTGAATAGAATTTTCCCTAATAGATTGTCATCAGCTAGAGAGTTGTTGAGAATTTAGGGGATACTAGTTAATCGTTTTTTTGTAGATTTTATTTGCGATCACTTAGTAATAAACACCTGTCTACCAAGTAAATGTATACAGGATTAAACCTTTTAGCCATGTAATCAGTATAAGATGTTTTTTAAATGATAAATTTGCAGTGCAATAGTTTATATCTCGAAATCCAATCAATTTATTATGCAATACAATCCTCGTCCAACGTCATTAATAATTTATTGTTTTACAACATAAGTGAACGAGATAAGAAAGGGCTTTGGGAAATTCTTCTCGCAGTTAATCACTAGTATGTCGAATGTAACTCACTCTACAATAACCTTTAATCTTATGAGCTCAAGGATCAGGTTTGTTGATATGTGTACCAAAGATATCAACGTAATCCATATGGTAAATTTGTTAAAATATGGTGAATAAATTTTTATTATTTATTTAAACACATAAACATTGGTACGAGGAGGCAGAAAATATATATGCGACACACAAATAATCCGATTTGTGTGAGGGCTGGAGTACTGCCTGGACGCTCAGACTGAAGGAGGTGGTTTTCTTAGGGAACCGCTCCCCGAACCTTTGACCTAGAGGTCTAATCCACAAGCCAGTTGTGCAGCGTTAGGAGATGCAACCCCATGGTAGCCGGTGACCAACAATACGTTCATACTCCATTTTTCTCTCTCATGATCCTGGAGCCCATATGCACTATTGATTTAGAATAAGTGTTTTCCAACTCCCCTTAGTTGGTCCTCCGTATCCACCAACCCAGTCAAAGCGCCGGACATTCACTTTCCGTCCTCTCAATTTCGTAAACAAGAGTAATGCCGCGAGAAGGCAGTGAGTAGAACTTCCGTGATAGTGGCTATATACGCGTGGTCGTGTGAGAGCATTTGGAGAGGGAGAGCTGACTCTCCCCGGTTAAATTAAATATCTTTAAGTTCATTTAATATTCTGTGCCAATCAAATGAGTGCATATGAAAATCGTAATCAACGTTAACAATACTTTACATAGCCTGTTAGAACTCGATGTGAAAATTCGTTGACTGACTTATTTACTTAGTATGATCTATATACTTTGGTAATTTTGTAGGATTTAGTTCTATTTAAAGTCAGATTTCAGCTTAATAGTCTAAATGTATCATACTGGTCACGATATCCGAATGTATATGGATACACATTTTTCAAATGAGTTCCTAATTAAATTGAAACAAATGTCCATTACTTCTTTATATTCATCGGTTTCTTATCCTTCTTATTCCTGTCTTTAGTGAAAACTATCTAGCAATTAACTAGCCATCACAATTTAAGCAAGACCTAAGGTCTTGCTTAAATATGTTTACTTGTATGTATGTATGGGATATGAAAGATGATATATTTTATCGATCGCAAACTTCCGTTAGACAGGGTTGTTACTAAGTCAGTTTTTTCTACTTCAATGTTATATTTCATAATCAGTCAGGCAGATATCAGTGGACTATGAATAAACCTATACAAATTATTGACGATATTTTCATTCATTTTTTTCTATGCTGATTTTGTTTGTTGTCAGAACTTTTTTGATGTATGAAGTAATAAAGCAGTGTGTATTTATTAGAAAGCAAAAATAATTTGATGTAAATTTCGTAGGGATATTGTTTCCGTTATAATTTTTTTCTTCTGTACTTTATTTATTGTGTTGTCTACACTAGGTTGTGCTTTTTCAAATTTTTTTAATGATCCTTATCTGATTGGATGCACTCATATATATATTCCATTGTAATCGTACCATAACATTGAATTTAGCTTTTTCTTGTTAATTGCTTTCTTTATTGTACGTTATACTCAGAACTCTTATTTGTTTGTCCACATACCTCTTGAAAGTGGAGTATATGGTATGCGATCAGTTTTGTTTTATTGTTTTTCTGACTAAATCATACAGGGGAAATAAAAAGCATTTAAACACCGCTTCACCATCTATGGTGACGACAAGATACTATGCTTCTGCTAGTCTGATGGGCTTTTTGTTAAGGATTTTCAGAATATCGTCAACCTCTGTGGACATGTTTTTTTTCAGAGATGAGTTTAAAGATCTGTTCTGTTTAATAGTAAAAGGCGGTCAGGATGTTAAGTAAGGCAGTGATTGTTTGTTTGAATATTATGTGACTGAGATTCTGTCTTTTGGCCGGGTGTAAAACCTTAGTCGATTCAATCATGAAATCCAAAGTTTATATAAAATGGGTGGAATTTGGCTAGCATTAGAATCCAGGGCGTGGTTTTCACCCTGTTTCGAACTCGTCAGCCGATTGTACCTGCATCCCAGAGTTGATGTTCGCTCTGGGATCCCAACCAAGAACCTTTTACTTCAGACGTCAATGGGTTATCTACTTAGCTACCGACTCCACATAACCACTCATTTTTAGAAAAAAAGTGTGAATGTTAGTTTAATTTGTAATTGGTTGGATTATCCCATTGTTAGTATATTAATTGAAACTTGATTGGTATTAGCAGACTTGCATTTTGTGAATATAATCTATTTGACCGTTTCATAATGGCCATATCGAAGCAATCCACACAGAATCCAAATGTACCAACCAAGACTGATCAAATTTCAGTGAAAATATCAAATATCCAAATAATTAGAAATTAAGTTGAAACCCCGTGTTAGCTTATCACTTGGTTTCCACAATCTTCCCTTGTATGATAGTGACCAATATTCTAGATATAAATAGCAGGATAATTATACTTGAATGTTTATCATATGCATCATATGGGTATTTTTCGAAGGTGTTGTTATGGATTTCTAAGCGTTGATCATGTATTGTAGAACTAGAAAATGTTTAATACTGAGGTCAGGGTTAGGATACTGGATAAAGATAGTTAATTGTTTGATACGATCGCGAATCTTCGTGATTATATATATGTTATTTCAATCTGCAACTTAATTAACTAGATTTAAGTTCGTATATGATGCTTTAGGTTGAGCACAGGATGAATGTTAGAGATTATAACCAGGATTTCAAACCGAGTTACATAGAGGGATCTCAAACTTGTCATTTAAAAATTTAAAGTTGACTACTTAAACTTGTGAATTATGGTTCTAAATTTTCCTGAAGAATATTTACTCTCTTATTATTAAATTTTACTATTACGTGTTTCTACCTAATGGACAACAACAAGTGAAATACATGAGTTTGAATAACGATCTTCAATAAACTGACAATGAATATCATTTTGGTTATTACCGTCTAACTACTTCTGTTTAACTTTCATCACATTTTAAATTCAAGCTAATCTAAGTTAATTAATTTGTATAATTTACAATCGGTCACACAAGATTAGCTATACTTTATATTATTCAAATACGATACAAATTATTGATTTTATGCTGATAGTCTTGTTTCTCATTAAGTGGAACTTCATTTTTTCAATCCTGTTATTTGTAGGTTGAAAAGAAGTTATTGGAATTAATTAATCAGAAAGACTATGATGTCTCACGGTTGTTTTGCATTGAAAAACCTCGTTCAAGACGTTCACTTGTCGGTGTTGGTGGTGGTGCTTCAACTGGTGTGTCGAATAACTTGACAACTTCTAACCCTTTAGGAAGTAGTATGGGTAGTATTGGAACTGGTTCCATTAATTCATCTTCATCTTCTTCACCTGTTACAATTAATGCTACAAATGTACATTCTAATCAACAGATATCCACAAGTGGCCGGAGTACAAGCCCTGGTTTGTTGCCTAGTTCAACGGCTATCGTGAATCAAGACAGTAGTTTACAGGATAATTCTAATATATCAACTGTTTCACAGACTAATCATTCAGGTTCAACTACATTTGGTGGGAACGATCCAACTCAAGCTGGTTTATATCTTCGTCTCAGGTCATTATTTCGTGATTCTAGAATTGAACAAGAGAAGTTTTATTTAGATGTAAGTAGAGTTGAACAGTTCAATTGATTCTTAATTGGAGTTTTATCTCCGAATGATTTTGTATTAAAAATCATTAAAAGCCTCGAATCATTAACATTGGTGGCGTTGTGATAAAGATATGCTTCTGAATTCCTCATAATTTTTTTTCCCATCTCAATAAGTTATATTTTGTCTAGTTGTATCTTCAATGCCTAATCTTTTCTATTACCACTGGTACTATTACTATCTCTATTACCTTGGGACTTAGCTTAACAATTTTAACTCCCTGTGTCAGTGGGATATGGCATCTTGAATCGACGTACTAGGTTTTACGTTGCGACTGACTGATTGACGTTAAACGCCTCAATTCGTGTACACGATATACGTTTTCATTTAGTTCCCTCAATATGAAGTAAGTCAGTTATGTGTATTATCTCTAGTTTTATTAGTGTCTCAGATACTGCTATCCTCACTAAGTGACTAATTAGATCAAAAATTTCCACTTGATCTGTAAATTGGCCTAACTATTCAACTTTCATAAATATCACAGGTTGTCTATGGTAATTGTTGCAGGAATACTTACCTTTCTAGTTTTTATGAAAATAGCCTAGCAATATACTTACTACTTGCTATTGAAGTTTGTAAATTTGAGACTCTTTTCTGATAAATAATGTTATATACCATAGATTTCGCACCACAGCAATGAGTCATTTTTTGTTTATCTCTATTTGTTTATAATTTGTTGTGACTACAACAGACTTAGTTATGAACATGACTTGTCACTTCTTTCTAATACTTGTACAATAAGAGTTTACTATTTTAAATAGAAAACGTAGGTATGTGATTGGTTATGAGGGTGGCCATGACTATTATTGTTATTATTATGACTGGTCTTCCTTACCAATCTATTTGTCACTTGTTATGTGTATGTGGTTAATTTTGAGGTCATTTTATGGTTTGTTAGTTAGATTCGTAACTCATCTGAAATGTCTCTTTAAGACCCTGGATTTCGATAAAAATTCTGAAGATAGGCATAGCTATCTGTCTACCTATCTTTGTCCCTCCTAACTGTTTAAGAAGTTCTATTATTAGGACAGCTCTTGTATATTTGAAGTAAATACGTGGCTGAATAATATTGTTGATACCATTGAGATAAGCATGTCCCACTTTAGACTTATCTTACCTTTCAATATATATGACTAGTTCTAAGGCTCTTATATCAGTCAGTAGCTTGAATTTTCTCAGACCTTTGGATAATTTAAACACAAATTAACCGTTGAGCTTCTATTGATTAGTCTGAAAGTTGACCTTTTTTGGAACTTCATGGCTGACTACATTTCATTCATTGAAATAATACATCTTTTTGAATATCATATTTTAATTTGTCAGCGATGTCCCATGCATCGCACTCTATTTATATTTACTCAGAGGTGAGGGCGGAATTCGATCGTGAACTAGATGATCTCGCGTGCCGTTAGAGGTGTGAGGGTGATTTTCACTTCCCGGTTGCACATACTGTGGAGGAATATTTCTTCTTGAGGAACTTGAAGAGGAAACTGGATTAGTGGTGATCTTAACTACTTGGGAGCGTAACTGCAGAGTTCGAGCGATAACTGCTTGAGCCTGGTCGCGCGCGACATTTTTTATGGAACTTTTTTGATTTGTTAGCTCCACGCTTTAGACGGCGTTACCACTGGAGTTTGAAGTCCGTGGTGTAAGGTGAGGTGAAATTTTTAGAATCAACCTTTCCTAACCCTTCCTTGCTTTGTGAGAAGGCAGCATCGCTGCAAATGTTGGTTGTCAGTAAGGAAGACTAAACATTTCATTTTTCTTTCTATTGTGTTGTGATCTCTAGGAGCTATGTTATTTTGATTTGATGGTTATATGAAGTTCTTTTCTTTATTTTAATAATTTGTGAACACTTTTACAGTCTTTGAAAATCAGTGTTAGTATTGACGGCGTACATGTTTATGTCATTGCATATCCAATGTAGCTTTTATGTTTACTAATAACTATTGTGTTGTAATCGACTATATGACATTTGTGCGATTTATATTAATATTTTTCAAGTTTGTCTTATTATTTAATTTCCCTGCAATCACAATGTTTTCTCTCGTTACTTTTTTATCAGAGATTTGCACACTATACCCAAGAAATGCATCTTTGTCAATTAATGCAAGTGAAACTTGCACAAATTCAAAATGCACTAGATTCTTCACAACCAAATTCACACGAAACAATGCCTCAAACATCTCCATCTTCTCAACACATGAAATCTATGCTTCGACATGGTATACCTGTTTTACCAAAACTACCTGGATATAATAAAGAGCTTACAAAAAATCTCAAATCTCCATCTTCACCAACTTCTAGTTATTTGAAAATCGATAGTGGTTTCTCATCATCACCACCTCCACCTCCACCACCTGCTCCTACTTTTACTTCACAAAGTTTTCATCAAGATTTACTTAATTCACCTATTCTTTCATCATCATCTCATTGTGATGTAACATCAACACCTGTATCAAGTCCTTCATTTTCCAGTCATACTGTAAGTCCTGGAAGTCAGTCTGTTCTAGTCAGTAAGCATCAAGCACGTCGTGTCCTTCGTGTACCAAATGTTGGTAAACCAAAACTGTTTGGTGGTACCATAGATGAATATGTAGAAGCTACTAAGCAACCGATCCCTCGCATTGTATTATCTTGCATACGTGTTATTAATGAATATGGTGAGTTTTCAAAGTAAAAATCTTTTTACCCCGTTTAGATTTATTTATTTATTTAAACACATAAATATTGGTACAACGAAGCACCAGATACATATGCGCCGCACAAATCTCATTCGATTTGTGTGAGGGCTGTGATACTACCCAGGTGCCCAAACTGAAGCAGGTGGTTCTCTTAGGGGGCCAAACCCGGAGCCTTTGACTTAAAGGTCTAACCCACAAGACAGTGAAGCATCGTTAGGAGATGCAGTCCGATATTAGCCGGTGATCAACAATTACTTCGTACGCCATTTGTTCCTTCAGTATGCTGGAGCCCATGTTCATCATTGGTTTGGAATCAGGGTTTTCCAACTCCCCTAGGTGGACTTTCCGTGTTCACCAATCCGATTAAAGCACCAGACATTCGCTTTCCGTCCTCTCACTTTTGTGAACAACAACCCCGCCACGAGAAGGCAGTGAGTAGGACATGTGTTAATTATGCCCAACCAACGCCTACCTCGACGGTCAATGTTTTCTGGCGTAGGAGTAGGCTATGATAAAGCTAGGGGCGGCCAAAACTAAACAGGACATCACCCCATGAAACCACTAACAATTGGACTGAGCCATGTTAATAGGTACAGTTTACCTGGTTGGAGTTCGAGTGATTATCGTAACCAGTAGTTATATACTTTAAATAACATGGTTCAAAATCGTTTGCAATGGTGTAGGTTTATCCATTCTTTGTTTTGTCCTCAAATCCTGAGATTCTAAGTTCCTCATAACTATTTTTGTTTTTATTTCACTAAATCATATTTTCTTGTCGTTTCGTATCTGTGATGCCTTATTTTTGCTATTACCACTGATACTTTTATTTCCTCTTTTATTCATAGATTTGTCCTAACAGCTTCATGTTGGTGTGCTAATGAGGTGGTACGGGAACTTGAACCGATGTACATACTTATCAGGTTATATCTTGTGACTCTGTTAGGTTGAATAACATTTTTCTCTTTTCCTCAACACAATTCATTAAAATAGTTTGATCAATTTCAGTTTATTGCAAAAAAATATCTGTAAAATTAAACAAATGTCCGTAAACCACCCAATTAAACAGAAATAATATTATGTTGAATACATTGTTCTTTCTGTGTTTATCATTTATTCATAACTGGAGAGAGTGAAAAAGATAGATATGATCCACTAACTTTGTCTTTTCAAAATGCTAATTAACTAGTCGAGGTGGTATCAGTTAAAAAACTGACTGTGTCAAACAAGCTTTCATTGTCTGTTTTAGAATATTAATGTGTGTTTGTTCGTTTCCCCCCTTCGATTTATTAACGATTATTATTATTATTATCATTGTTATTGACTTTTTAACGTTTTCTCTCTTTTCTTAAAAAAAAAATAATATTTTGATTTTTCTAGTTATTTAGTATCGTTAATTTTTCGTCGGGTTGCATGAATAAACTCTTTCCACTTGATTTCTTAGCTAGAGATCTGAGAGGATATTTAATTATTTTCAAAAAAAATAATTGTATGTTCATTATTATTATCATTACGAAGTTCAACTTTTGTTCAATCCGTAGGTAAATTTGTTTTATTTGTTTACCAGTCTTCTTTTTTGTTAAATTGGTTGGTATAATCAACAATTTTATCTACTTGTGTATATGTATGTATGCGTGCTCACGTCTGTCATCATTTAGTCCTGAAAAGAAAGATAAAGTTCTTTATGCGAAGAATAATTCTTTGTTTATTTTTTCAACAAATAGATGTGTCATTTTGATAAGAGTGTTTGTGTTTGCATTTCTGGAAGAAAATTATTGGAATATTAACCATCAGTAGTCGATTCGCCGTGTGTATTATATTTTAAAAGTTTGAAATGTCAGGATGTTGTAGTCTATGAAGTACATTATTTGATTTGTAAATGTCTGTGTTCAACTAGATGCCTTCTCTACATTATTTACAGCTTGAAGCCTCATTCAAAGTGTTTTTTGATTAAATTGATTTAATACTGTAACATATTTTCTCCTTGGTTTGTTACTGTTGATTACACTACCATCTTTTTAGGGATGCTTGATATTATTTCAGTTATTATTGTTTCGTATGTATGTGTGCAACTAGTTAGTCATCGTTGACTAAATTTAATATAAATAACTTAATGGACAGTAGAATGAAATGCAGAAACATGTGCAGATTTTAATCGAAAAATGAAGGCGGAAATGTATCAATCGGGGTTATCTTTCTTTTTTACTATCACTTATACTGATACTTCTACTTATTTAATATTCATAGCATCACATTATATCAGGTTAATGAAATTTTATCTTTTTCGTCTTAATGTAATGGGAAAACTTTTACCGTTTCATTTGAATCTTTGGGCTCCGTGTTACTTTTGACTAACTACTGACATACAACACCTACACTGCAAATCCAGTCAACTGTAGTCATATTTTTAAATCTAGATTTTCATCAGAGTTCAGTCGTAACCTTTATTCTATAAGAGATACCCTAATTTAAATGATCACTGTATTGACTAATTATTGACAGTAATAATTCATAATACCATGGTTATATTTTAATACATTCCTTACCATTGTGTTCCTTTTATATCCTAGTTTATATACTTGTCAAGTTTGTTTTTGTCTGTCTTACTTTTTAATAAAAAATAGTCTACTGATTTGTAATCAATAAGAGTATTGTAGAATATCAACACATTACTTTACATTTAGACAGTATTATTTTCTAAAAGTTTCCTTTATTTTCAATTATAGTTTTCTTGTTCTTATGCAGAATTATTTTTTAAGACTTAATTCTAACATAAAACGTTGGTTTTTGATATGTACGTGTTACTAAACTTTTGACATTAGAATAAAACAAGGATTATTAAACTTTACACTTACGAGGTGGAAATAATGTCGCCGTATGAAATCTATGCACGTGATTTCCATTATGATATCATTTGGAAAATAAACAGTGCAATCATGGTTATAAAGTTCCAACCATCTCAATACGTTAGTTCAGAGTTTTCTTACGATCGTCTTTAACGAATCAAAGTTAAAGCAATCGGCACTATTATATTGAATTACTTAGTCCTGCTAATATATCCTTTGTTCAATAGAATTATATCTACACTATGAAGTAATAACTGTCATTCGTTATTACTCAGTGTAAATATCACTACCCAAATAAATTAATGTTTGCCTATTATGTAGACATTATTTGATGTGAGTATGGATTTCTCAAGACAGTAGATATGTTTTACTGATGAACGAGAGCCCCCCGCAAAATCTATGCCGATAGTTTTCTTACTGATTACCTTCAACAACCTAATATCATTAAATATTTAGTACAGTATGGTAGTTTTCATATGATCGAAGTTTGTCTTAAACAGTTCAATTTAATTGGATAGTGTATGTCTAGTTCTCGTTAATAGGTTGATCGGAATCCTACTGCGAAATTCTTTAATTTGAAGTCTGTATTAACTGCCAAATATTTACACAATAGAATGTCAGTAATTATTGTGAATTGTCCTTACCAAGTTTCATGTCAAATTTTCTACAATATACCAATAACTAACTACATGTATCATACTCTTTTACGAGTGACCAAGCGTATGCAGAATGTTGTCAAATTCGTTTTTGAAAATTTAACATATCATTTAATTTTCATTGTATTTTGTGTATTTCATATTTCGGTCTTTTTTTATTTTCAGGAATGCATCAACAAGGTGTATTTCGTGTGTCTGGTAGTCAGGCGGAAATTAATGACTTTAAAGATGCTTTTGAAAATGGAGATGACCCTCTGATTGGTGTTCATGAGGCAAGAGATATAAATTCAACTGCTAGTCTGTTAAAATTATATTTTCGTGAACTAGGCGAACCTCCATTTCCAGATACCATTTTCTTAGAACTTATAGACATAACACGTAAACGTAAGTAATCTTATATATATGATTCTAAAGATGGATAGTCCTAAATAATTATTGATTTGTGCTGTTTCTAATAACTGTTTGTGCACACGCTAATATTATTGTTCATTGTGATTTTGCCAGTTCTCTTTCACCGTCATGATGATTCTGTTCAGTTACTAAGATTCTAACAAAAATTTAATTCCTTTATTCGTCAACCGTTTGTAACTTCCCAAATAATGTATTTAAAAACGCCCAATTTTTATCAACATGGTCATTTGACAATAAGAGAAAACCTTGAAAAAATGAATGCAGGTGAACATTTTTATGTAGGAGAGAGTATTAACTATGATATTCCTCACTCATTACGGTAGATTCTAACAATGGTTCCTCAAAGTATAAGTTATCACGTGACCGCATCGATCACTTCGATGAGAATGCCGTTTTGAGCAAGACAAACCCTTTAATAAACAAAAGGAGTCGTTAAAAGCATATACAACTATATGTTTGTTGGTAGAACCACTTATGTATTAAATATTGTTAAACGTTATGAACCTACTCGATATATACCACATGTAATACATACTTTGAACTGATAAATGGTTAGTGCATTAGTTATTGATCCAAAAGAGTTTTAGGTAGTTCGTTATCTCGATAATACATTTTTATTACATCACAAGAATTTCTGTCTGTTCTCATATATCACAATAGTCTTGCACTGAGATCGGTTTATTGAGGATAACTTTCAACCTTCTCATGAGAAATCAGACCCCAGTCAGCCTATTTACTAACATACTATATTTGAAAAAGACTAAACGTAGTTAATTAGTAGTTGTTTTTTAGTATCATACATTTTTAACAGCACCAATAATTGTGGGACTTTTGCCGATTCGGAGTATAGACAATTGTAAGCAACTTAAAATCGTGGATGACCTGTTAAAATATATGGAGTTTTCTATCTATCTGGTGGACCAACCTCTGGAATTTTAAGGGTAGTGGTTCAGTTCTAGCAGTTAGATTAACTGAGATCTTAGCTAAGATCCGGGGACCGAATGTGATCCCATCTGACTGGTCTCGATCGCTGATCGTCCAAGTCTGTATGAAAGGACAAAATCCTCTTGCAACAATTGAAAAGGAATCAGTTCGACTAATATAGTCTAAAATATTAGCCTCAACAATACTATGATGTCTGAGTAGAGGTCTTGAAGAACTAACCTGGTGAAACCAAGCTGGTTCCAGACCTGGGTGTGAATGTTTAGATCAAATATTTTCCCTTCAGCAGGTTTGGAAACCTAGGCATGCTTTCCGACGTGTGTGTCCCTTAACCTTAAAAAGGGATTCGACTCTATTGGTTATGACGTCCTGTAGGATTGTCTGTTATTGAAAGGCGTACTAAAAAAGTACACTAACCTTGTACAGGCTCTCTACGTGAACACTGTTGGTTGAGTCAGGGCTTATGGCGAACTGTCATCAGAATTGAGTACTTCAAGTGGTGCTCGTCAGGGTTGTTCACTTTCCTCATTTTTATTTAACTTTGTCATGAACATGCTTTTAGTGGTAAAAAAATTTCGTTCGGCTTTGCATGGATTGATCTTCTACCAGGAGATTCACTTACTGGCTTAGAATACGCATATGATATAGTTCTGTTTGGTGAAAACGCTGACAAAATGCAGAGTTTTCTGACTATCTAAAACAATGCAAGCATGTTTGAGATGTGTTTTTCTCGCTCTAAATGCTCAATGTTCCTTCAGGATTGGCTTGCGTCATCGTCTGGAGTAATGTTAGGAAGTGAAGTCGTTGTACATATCGACCGCCTCATTTATCTCGGGATTCTCACCAATCCTGATGGTCTGGTGTCTGACGAAATCTTGGCACTGACACAGAAGGCTCGTTTGGCTCTTGCCAACTTATGTCAATCGCGGTGTAGGCATGATACCTGTCTTACAACCATAAGACTAGTTTACTGCTAGGCAGTTCGCTTTGTCCCACTTAATAGATGTGAACCATGGCTATTAAGGGTAGGGAATGTTCGTAGGTTGCTGATATTCGATCATCGGTGTCTATGAAGCAGTGCATGTATTTTTGGACCATATAGTTAGCGATTTCTGCGTTAGGAAGGCATTAGTAAAGATGGGAAATCGATTGCTGAAGCAGTAAATCTTCATCAACTGAGGTGGTCGGGACAGGTATTAGGTATGCCCAACTACTACCTACCTCGACGGACAATGTTTGCCGGTGTATGAGTAAGCTGGAATAAAACCAGGGGCGGCCAAACTAAAAATAAACATCAGTTCATGAAATCACTGACAATTGGACTGAACCATGTTATTAGGTACAATTTATCCGGTTGGGATCCGGGTGATAGTTAGATGCTTTGAATGATATGGTTCAAAATCGTTTGCAGTGGTGTAGGTGTATCCATTCTTTGCCCCCCCAATCTTAAGATTATAATTTCTTCATAACTATTTTTTGTTTTTCATCTCACTAAATTATATTTCCTTCCGAGTCATATCTTTGATGCCTAACATTCCCTATTACTACTGATACTGTTACTAATTTTACTAATCTAGGATTTAGTTTGACAACTTCATCTCTCTGCTCTAATGATGTATGATAACTTTCACTGATGTACATACGTAACCTCATACTTTCACAAAGTCAAATATTTCAATGAATTACATAACCGGAAAATCTTTTTTAATAAATTACATATAATCTGTCTTCATTACAAATATAAACAAACTGAGATTGGTAATGTGTTTCGAGGACATTCGCGTGCATTGTTATTCTTGGTTTATTTAAGTGTGTAGCATAAACCAATTGCATGAAACAACTGGATTATTGAAAATTATTGTGTTTAAACCTAGTTGATTTACATGTGTGTATACTGTTGGCCATAAACTGTTTACGATTGTTTATACAATTATCGAAATCCAATTGATACCTCAACTAATTTAATAGGCTTTATTAAGATATATATATAATGATGAATGTACTGTATATACGAATTTTGATCTCTACCTCAATATCATAATTGAACTATTAAAATTAATTATATTGTGTGTTGTAATGTTTATATCTTGAAATGTTTAGTCGTAATACAAATCTGATGATGATAACGATCATGAAATAGGGAAGTAAACCAGCTTTAAACGAATTCGACCGGGTGTTTATGTAATATGTGTCTAATCATTCAAACAATGTATTATTATCTATGAAATTGACGTTTAAAGTGGAAATAAACTTTTCATACCAACACAGCTATGACATGTGCTGATATGAATGTTTCATATCTCAACTGTTTCAATACAAAACCAGTACTTTATGCATAATTAGTATATTTTAGACATATGTGGTAAAAAGAATGTCCATGCGTAGTAAGCTATAAAGAAATCAACTTTCATTTACGTAGACACAGATTCGAACCCTTCTCGATCTATTATAGTTTTGCTTATTAAGTGATGTTAATTAGTCTTCTCACAAAACGTGTCTGGCCGAATAATGAGTTCATGGATTAATACCGGGTCACTGATTTGCTTAAAAACAGTTTCTATATACATCGTTTCAGAAGAGTAGGTCAGTTAATTTTCTTAACATAAAATATCTTGCACAAAAGGAAATTTCTCTACTAATGTTCTTTAATACTCTCTAAAATATTGTTTCTAATTAAACAATTGACCTGAAATGTCTTGCTTAATTTATATTCTGATATATGAGGTGAATAACTACGGTCATTACATTCAGTTCTATTAACATTAGTAATTATATTACCTTGTTAATCGAATAGTGAACTGTTCAAAAATTTGGGTCAAGACAAGAGAATCGTCGATAAATTGTGAATATATATATATATATATATATATATATATATATATATATATATATATATATAGTTTTCTTAGCTATATGTTTCCATTGCGAAGCTTTGTTATCGCTCTAGACAACACCACTAAGGCTTACTTCATGTAGAAGTGAGCTTCCTAGTTGTACTTACTTACTTACTTACTTCCGCCTGTTACCCCTCGTCGAGGAGCATAGGCCAACCACCAGCATTCTCCATCCAACTCTGTCCTGAGCCTTCCTTTCCAGTTCTTTCCAGTTGCTATTCATCCTTTTCATATCGGCTTCTATTTCCCGACGTAGTATGTTCTTTGGCCTTCCTCTTTTCCGCTTCCCTTCCGGATTCCAAGTTAGGGATTGAGTCGTGATGCACATTGGTGATTTCCTTAATGTATGTCCGATCCACTTCCAACGTTTTTTCTTAATTTCCTCTTCAGCTGGAAGCTGGTTTGTCCTCTCCCATAAAACGCTGTTGCTGATAGTATCCGGCCAATGAATGTTGAGTATTTTGCGTAGACAACTGTTTATAAATACTTGTACCTTCCTGATGATGGCCGTAGTAATTCTCCACGTTTCAGCTCCATACAGTAGGACTGTCTTGACGTTCGTATTAAAGATTCTGACCTTGAAATTGGTTGAGAGTTGTTTTGAGTTCCATATGTTCTTCAATTGTAGAAATGCCGCCCTTGCTTTGCCAATCCTCGCCTTTACATCTGCATCCGATCCTCCTTGTTTATCAACGATGCTCCCCAGGTACTTGAATGTTTCCACCTCTTCCAGAGTTTCGCCATCAAGTGTGATCGGGTTGGTGTTCTCCGTGTTGCATTTGAGAATCTTGTTTTTTCCTTTGTGAATGTGGAGGCCTATCGATGCGGAGGCTGCTGCTACATTTGCTGTCTTCATCTGCATTTGTTCGTTTGTATGAGAGAGGAGGGCTATATCATCTACGAAGTACAAATCATCTAATTGATTCTGAGCTGTCCATTGTATTCCGTATTTCCCTTCAGATGTCGAATTCTTCATAATCTTGTCAATCACTAGAAGAAAAAGAGGAATGGGGAGAGTAGACAGCCTTGTCTGACTCCGGTCCTTACTGGAAATGCATCTGTCAGCTGTCCTCCATGCACCACTTTGCACTGTAGTCCATCGTATGAGTTTTGGATAATGTTGACGATCTTCTGAGGAACTCCATAGTGTCGAAGAAGTTTCCATAATGTTCTCCTGTCCACGCTGTCAAACGCTTTCTCATAGTCGATGAAGTTGACGTATAGTGATGAGTTCCACTCAACTGATTGTTCAACGATGATCCGTAGTGTCGCAATCTGGTCTGTGCACGACCGATCCTTACGGAATCCAGCCTGATGATCTCTAAGTTCAGCGTCTACTGCTTCTTTCATCCGATTCAGCAGCACTCTGTTGCAAACTTTTCCTGCTACTGATAACAAACTGATGCCTCTGTAGTTTTCACATTGGCTCAGATCTCCTTTCTTTGGTATCTTGATGAGATATCCTTCTTTCCAGTCCGTTGGCACTTGTTCCTCTTCCCAAACCTTCTTGAATAGAAGGTGAAGCATGTTTGCAGTTATTTCAATGTCTGACTTCATTGCTTCTGCTAGTTTATTGTCAGGTCCTGTCGCCTTCCCACTTTTGATTTGTCTGATGGCCATCTTGACTTCTTCGATCGTTGGTGGAGTGACATCTATTGGAAGGTCAGTGTGGGCTGCTTCGATGTTCGGTGGATTCGATGTGGCTGGTCTATTCAGCAGTTCCTCGAAGTATTCTGCCCATCTTTTCCTTTGTTCTTGAATCTCAGTGATTGTCTTTTCTTCTTTGTCCTTGACTGGTCTCTCTGGTTTGCTATATCTCCCTGCCAATTTCTTCGTTGTATCGTATAGTTGTTTCATATTCCCTTCTCTTGCAGCTTTTTCCGCCGCCGTTGCTAGTTCTCCCATATATTTCTGCTTGTCGGCTTTAATGCTTTTTTTTCACTTCCCTGTTTGCTTCTGCGTAGTCTGCTTGTGCTTTGACTTTCTCTGCTCGTGTTCGGCTGTTGTTAATTGCTAGTTTCTTGTTCTTCCTTTCTTGAATTTTGTCCAGGGTTCCCATAGAGATCCATTCCTTGTGATGATGCTTCTTAGGACAAAGAACCTGCTGACACGTTGAAGTTAGTGCTTCTTTTATCCCTTTCCAGTTGTCCTCCAAAGTAGTTTCTTGTTCTTTCAGTAGATCCTGTAGAGCTTGGGACCTGTTGTTGAGAGTTATCTTGAATTCATGGAGCTTGTCAGTATCTCGAAGGAAGGCTGTATTGAACCTTTGTGGTGCTGTTTGTCCAGTTGTCCAGTGATTCTTTAGCTTCAGTCTCATCTTGGCCACAATCAGGTGGTGATCTGAAGCTATGTCAGCTCCTCTCCGGGTTCTCACATCTTCCATTGATCTTCGGAATTTTTTGTTGATACAGATGTGATCAATCTGGTTCTCTGTGGTGTGGTCCGGTGAGATCCATGTAGCTGTGTGTATGCGTTTGTGTGGGAATATTGTGCCACCTATAACCAATTTGTTGAATGCACATAGGTTTGCAAGTCTCTCCCCATTTTCATTTCTCTCTCCTAATCCATGTCGTCCAATTACATCTTCATATCCTGTGTTGTCCACTCCAACTTTAGCATTTAGATCTCCCATCAGGATGGTGAGGTCCTTTCGTGAGCACTTTGCTACAATTGATTGCAGCCTTTCATAGAACTGATCTTTATCATCGTCGTTGCTATCATTGGTGGGTGCATAACATTGGATAACGCTCATTGTGATCCCTTGCTTCTTTGTTCTGAATGATGCTTTGATTATCCTGGGTTCATGAGATTCCCATCCCACAAGTGCATTTCGTGCTTCTTTGGACAGTATTAGAGCAACTCCCTGAGTGTGTGGAGCATTTTCCCCTTCGTGACCGGAGTACAGCAGCATCTCTCCTGTACCTAGCCTTTGTTGTCCAGTTTGTGTCCAATGGGTTTCACTGATTCCGAGTACTGCCAGTGTGTATCTCCTCATTTCCATTGCTATTTGGCTGGTCTTTCCTGTCTCCCACATTGTCTGGACGTTCCATGTACCTATAAAGAGTGTTGCTCTGGTTGTTAGAAGGTGCATCGGTCTCGTGACTTCCGAAGAATTTCGGCTTTCATCATGAGGTGTCATAATTATTCCTTCAACTCCTAGGGCAGATTTTAAATGGTTTGAATTATTTTTTCTGGTTAGCGTTTTTTTAGCGAGTTAGCTTTTCTACGGGATGGGGTCGCTAACCCCATGCCCAACCCTCGTCCTTTTTGTGGGCTTGGGACCGTCAGTAACTCTAGAAGAGCTACAGACGGAGTTTCCTAGTTGTACTACAAGCTTTGAATTTGTTTCGCCTAGTGGACACTAGGACTGAGAAAGGAAAATAACACAACTCGAGGAAAAAGTTAACATATTACTATTATTCTTTTTGATAACATAGTAGACGTAAAGAATATTTGAGTTAAACAGAACAATTGAAACCGTGAAATTAAACTTCTCTTGTAGACAACTAGCGCCGCGTGTTATTATAACATGGAGTTTCCACCATTCATCTAACTTCCTTCTGTTTCCATACCATCTAGCAAACATGCTTAAATATAGTCATTTGTAAAGTTATGTAACTACTTGGAAGTGCATACTGATCACGTTGCATGAAATTTTGGATAAAATGTAGATTTTCTGTTACATGAGGAATTTTTCAGAGTTGTTTTCCAAACTGAAATCTCAGTTTTCCAATTAGTTCACAGCTTAATTAAGCATTCCCATCGGTTATATACTTTTATTGCTTCGTAACAGGTACAAAATCATTTGACAAAGAAATGCTGATTGGAAGAAACTGTGTTCTCATGTTTTATTCAAAAGATGCTTCTGATAGGAACTATACAATATGAATTTATAGTATATTTATGATCGACCAATCAGTTAGCCACCAACCCGGTTAAAGCCCCGGACATTTACTTTTCATCCTCTCAATTTCGTTAACAACCCCCCCCGCCACGAGAAGGCAGTGAGTAGGACTTCCCTGGCAGAGGCTATATACGCGTGGCCATGTGAGAGCATTTCGAGAGGGAGAGCAGACTTTCCGTACTCTCGGGCGTACCAGGGCATTCTGGGGCGTAAACACCATAGCCCTACTAGTGGTCAATCGCGATGCGAATAGGTAAGTAGTAAAGTATCAGATCGTGAAGTCGGTTGATACGGGTTTAAAGTCTGAAGCGAACATCAATTCACTCAAGGCTGATGGTGCTCCTTGCTGATGAGTGCCAACTTGCACCAAAACCTATGTCTAGTGTTTTTCTGCCGACTACCTAAAGTTGATTGTTTATTTAACACGATGAGTATTGAGTTTTTGTATTTGTTTTTGTAATCATTGTTAATTGTTACTTCATTTAGTTTTTTCTCACCACTATTTTCTCTTATCAGACCAGGAAATCAGTGAAATGATTCGACGCTTACGTCATGTGATCACAGAAAATTTGAGCAGACCAGTTTTTGTAGTAATGAGATATTTGTTCGCATTTTTAAATCAGTAAGTTATCATTTCATCTTAGTATTTAGAGTTTTTATTTTCACTAATTATCGTATACCTAATAATGTCAGAAGACTAATTAGATCTTCAGAGAAATTTTTTTTCTCGTACCGCTTTTACTACATATTATATATACTATAAGTAGTAGCAGTTTTTAGTTATAAATGAGGGTGATTTAAGCTTTCAAAGAATCAATACATTTTCGTTTGTTAATGATTATTTGGATGAAAATTAGTTAACAGTATCATTGAAATAATGATTATTTTAACGTTTTATTGGTCCATGTGAATTTTCATCTGTGCGTCAGTAATTTTACTGTCGAAACGAGTCATTTTGAAATGATTTTTCAATGTGTGAATAATTATCTTCACGAACTAGTGTAAAACAAATTAAGCCTCCCCAAGCATAAATAGCATTACCATAAATACACAGATTAGGTCTGAATGATTCTTCAGCTGATGTCGACATGTCATTAAAATTAGTTTCGATTTGTAAAAACCATCCACAAAATAACGTAAACTAGGTCAACTTGGTCAGGCTATAGTAACATTCTGTGACCTGTAAGTTCAGCATTGAGACAGTAGCTCAGCTTTAGCATCCAATGATTATTCTACTTTTTTATGTATTGGGCAACGTCGTTAATATGAACCATTCAATTTCAACTCATTGGTCAAAATTAATCTTGCTAGTCATGATACATTAACATCATGAGTTTAATTCATTGTGTAGTTATAAATGTATACATTGTTAAAGAGTTACACTGTTTAAACTAGCTTTTTAATTTATGTCAGTTCACAATAAACGTTGGTGATCGATAAAATTTGATAAAAAAATATAGGATTTGACACGTATAGCAACTAGTAAGCATTTAAATTGTTTATTTCATTGAATCGAATCTACCAAGTATTGAATTCGCAAAGTATAACATATGGACCTCAAATTTAGTCACCCTAGAAATAAACTTTGTCTCTGAGTAGTCTTCATTAGGAATAAATGATTAATGCTTTGATGATCATAATTCTCTTATTCATTATTGGTTTCAAAAATCTCAAATGATACTAATGATATCGACAATGCGTTTCATTAAATTTTTCTTCTCATATAATCATATAATAACGATTGGATACAATGAATATATCAAGAAAATTAAATTGAATAGATTTACATATAAAATGAAATGCTATTGTTTACTTAACGAAATTTATTCAATACATAAACAAGTGTGTACACAATAAAGTAAACTTAACCAATAACATTTACGCTACACCATTACAACTTGTTAATACATGACAATAAATAATTATTGAAAAAAACAACTCTAAATTCACGTCCGACATCAGCATATACAGGCACACACATCTTCACACCATAAAGGCATAAATACCTAACAACCAGAGTACTAACAATTCATACTAGTTTTTTCATGAATGGACAAACTTTCTCATACGTTATTAAACTTACAAACATGGTCACGGTCAACATTTTATTGATTAAAGATAGTATAGAATAATAGAGTATTTGGTAATAAACAAAATTTACATTCTGAACTGTATTTTACACGAGCCAATATCGTTAATAAATGTCCCTGTGACGTAGTCAATCGGTTGGGAGTCATGTTACTTTTGTGATACTGTGTGTATGGATAACTTGACCAATTTTCTGCCAAAGTGTTTGCGAAGATTGCAATAGTAATGAAAGTAATCGTAATAGTAATCGGTGATTAAAAATAATTTATGTCACGGAAAATAATCTTAATATTACTTTTACCGAACAACTATTTTCTACTAAAACGATATTACGTTGTGTCTGATTGAAATCATAAACCAATCAATGTTAAACTACATTTGAAAACCTAGAAGCAATGGACGACCGTTTTATCTCAGTGTGCGCATCCGAAACCCCGTATGTAGGGATTGAACTCAGCAACTTTCTTCTCTTGCGTGAATTCCTAACCTCTAAACCACTAAGCTGGAGAGACCGGAGGTACTGGTTTCGATTCCCGCATGCGGGGTCGTGGATGCTCACTACTCAGGAGTTCCATACCGATACGAAATGACAGTCCAGTGCTTCCAGGTTTTCAAAGGTGGTCAACATTGGTCAGTTCACCATTCTAATGAAATTCAACTATATCAACAACCCCATGTTGGTAATCTTATGCTGACTTGTGGCAGTTGACCAGAGCATTCTATTTTAGGAAGCTATAAACATAACTAAACTATAATAATGAAAGACTTGAACGAGATGAAATTGTAAATGAAAATAAACATTTGACTACAGCACACTTGTAAAATCAAAACTGCTAGAGAGTGAGAAATAAAGAGTGAAAATCATTCATAGTCGAAAACCATTCCGCGTATGGGGAAAGCCAATAATTACATTAATCTCAAGTTACATAACTCGAAAGTGTTGTCAGTAAACATTGGTTATCAAGCTGCTCATTAAGGAAGCAATTAGAATTGTCTTAGTGACTAATGTTTTGAGGCTGTGAAAAGATCATAACATAAATTTCATTTCTAATAAAGAGTCAACAACTATGGGTATCATTACCAAGTTTGGATTTGCTCTAATTTTTCTACTCATTGGGGTATAAATATATTATTTATTTAAATCAATAGAACTGTCATGAATGTTTAACAAATTAATGCATTCAGGTTATACATTTGAGAAAATATGTGAAATGACTGAAATACAATCAATTAAGTTGGGTAACTTAACAGTGTACACTCACGATTCCACTAAAAGCCAAATCCAGTATATCTAGTTATGGTGTCATCAACGATAACTTTTGATCAGTGATTTAAAATTCAATAATCCATTTTAACAACGTCCGCCAATTTGTAGTAAAGCGACTTGATCATCTGATGATAGTATCCCACTCTGCATTTTTTAGGCTACAGGATGTCATTGAAATTTCATAAATATTACCTAGATGCAAGCTGTTAGTAGACGATTCATAGTTATGGTTAACTATGATGCTTCGTAAAGGTTTTGAACAAATCAGAATTAATTTTCATAGTATTCTGACGTTAGTTGAAGAATTCTTAAGTTCTTCTTTGTGTACAGTGGTTGTGGGTATTTAAAGCTGAGATGTTATAGGGTAGAGTGAAGTAGCTGTTGTGTGAGGCTCCATAGTTGTCAATGATTTTGCATTTCATATTAGTTCGTAAGGAGAATCGCCATTAAATTGTAGCAAATATCTGTAAATGTAGTCTAGTTAATTTTTCAAAATATTTTTGAGAATCGTGATTGATTTCTCTTCCATTGAAACTTTTGATTGTCTTTTCTATTGGGATCAATATCATGATACAAACAAAATGCTTTAAACAAGTCACTAGATGAATAGCGTTTTTATTAGTGTTTTTGTAGGATATTTTCCACTTGAAATTTACTCCTTTTCTTATAGTGACTGAATTATAATTATTTTGTGGTAAAGTTGTACTTGAATGTTAATCTAAGTAAACTATTATATTAAGAAGCAAGTATTCAAATATGAAATTCACATTTATTTTCCAAAATCAAATCACAATGGCGCCCAACATAAATGTACTTATGGTTGTAAGCTGTTTCAATAGAAGTACAGTTTTAAATTGATCTGTTATTAGTTTTCGGGGGAGGGTCTGTGGAAATTTTAGGATTTTCAGGTTTTTAATCATGAACTCTTCCTAGCTAGACCACCATTAAAAGCCGGGAAGTACTGGACACCTGTTTTTCATCCCAGTGTTGTGTTTGCAACTCCGTCAGTGATCAAACCTAGGACCTCGTTCGCAAACTATTGATCTCTAGAGCAGTAAATCGACACTTAATGATATACGTGTCTAACTTCAATCGACTCGTGGTATTGCTCGGCCATCTTCCGTTGCCTGCGGTGGATAACTGTCTTACACTGTACATGGTTGTTATTAGTAATCATGAAAATATTCTATTGTTTTGAAAGTAGTTACTCATTAAGTGAATTCCATTTACTCAATTAGGTGTTAATTAGATATTAGTGATTCAACAATCCTTACAGTACATTCAAAAATTAAGAACAATAATTCACAATAACGTCATCCACCGATTTCACTACTATTAATTACATAATTATTATTGTATCACAGTCCGTAAGATGATGGTTATTCGAAACAAACTGGGTTCATTCCACCATATTCTTTGTATTCATAAACATTTATTTTCTATTTTAAGAAATATGGTCAATAATAATAATAATGATAGAATGTTTTTTATTTTTTTTCTTTAAATTAGTTTAATTATTCAGCATTCTATTTGTTATTCATAAATGAAACAATTTATAGTGTGATGTGATGTTTTTTTTCTGTACATGAGGTTAAATATATTCATATATATTCATATATATATGTAGACGATTAATTATCCATTAAGATGAATGATGATCAGTTTTTATGCATCCCCGTAAATAAAATATTACATGTATGTATGTATGTATGTATGTATGTATGTATGTATGTATGTATGTATGTATGTATGTATGTATGTATGTATGTAGGTAGGTAGGTAGGTATGTAGGTATGTAGGTATGTATGTGTGTGTATGCGTTTTTTTATTTTATATCTGATGCAAGTTGTCCAACTATTGGTTAGTTTTCACGATATTTTCGTGAAGAATTTAATTTATTTTTGCGTTCACCCTGAACCCTATGATCTAATTTTTCTTTCATTAATTTCATTGCTGGCTCAAATAAAATGTATCAAACATTGGGATGTAATAATTTATTAACTTCCCCTGTTTTATTGATTTAGCTTTTAAGTAATGAGAATGAATAATATAAGGTAATTCTTTAAAAAGAAAAATTAATATAAGCAGAGAAAGAAGTGTGTACGTGATTATGACAGCTTGATAGATTCATCATATCATAATTTTCATGCCAGAAATAATTTTAACGATGATGACTATCGATACTTCTTTATTGTTGTTAATGGTAAATTAATGAGGAGAATATGTTTCTTCGAATTGCATAACAAAGAAAAGGATGCATTCTGTTTGTATTAAATATATATTATTTGAAATGCTATTCATTATTATTTCTTTGGAAAACAGGAAAGAAAAACACAAGTTCACAACTAAGTAGTGTTTTTGCGATTACGTAATTACTACATGCAGACACGTGGTAGTAATGGATAGTGAATTGATCTTTTTAAAACATAAATTATAATCAGAAGGGGATTTGTGGAGATTTCAGTATATTTCAAAGTTGAAATCATGAGTCAATTGAAGCTAGACCACCATCGAAAACCTGGAAGCACTGGACGGCCGTTTCGTCCTACTATGGGACTCCTCAGCAGTGCGCATCCACGAACCCGCTCTCGCGAGCGAGATCTAGCTTCAATTGACTCATGATTTCAACTTTGAAATATACTGAAATCTCCACAAATCCCCTTCTGATTATAATCATATGCTCACTAGTGACTGACTCCAAGATACATGTCCTGGAGTTCTAGTGGGAAGCAGTGACCAGTGGAGTTCAACCACGTCTGTTGTGAGATAACAACTCACTGAAGGCAATTGGTGAAGTGTCGCTCATAATTCGTGGATCAGTTGAAGTTAGACATTAACACCGTTGGATGCCAGCTCAGTGGTCTATCGGTTAAGGGCTCTGGCTCGTAACTGGTAGGTCCTGGGTTCGAATCTCGCTCGCGAGAGCGGGTTCGTGGATGCGCACTGCTGAGGAGTCCCATAGTAGGACGAAACGGCCATCCAGTGCTTCCAGGTTTTCGATGGTGGTCTAGCTTCAATTGACTCATGATTTCAACTTTGAAATATACATTATTGTTGCGTGTATATGAGGAAGTAAAATTAGAAATTTAAACATTGATAGACAACTTGAAGTAAAATTAATCCAAGCTATAAAAAAGTAGTAGAACTCACAGAATCTAGATGTATACTATTGGTGACCGTGTAAACTACTGATAATGAGTGAGCAAATTTTAATTGCAAAAAATTATTCTAAATAATGATGTGTACAAAAAAAGTTCTGATCACAGTTATTGATGTCATTTGGTAAAAGCTTGACTTCGACATAATTCCTTAGGTTTCGTTGACCAATCACTCTGATAACCATTAATAAATAAATAAATCCCAACGGTGTTTGAATTCAGAAGGCAATACGAAGCAACGATTACAGTTTATTATTGTATAGCACAGATAACAAAGTTACAAGCACATCAAGCAAATTGGAGCAGAGAGGCTAATGCACGCAAGCAAGGAAATACATGGGTGAATTCAGAGTCAAATCGAATCGAACGGAGGCGAAGAAATAGATGAATTGTTACTGTTCAGATAACACTGTTTCTCAAATAAGTTAATTGAAGAGCTTGACAAAACTAATTGTAGGAGTTCAATTCAAAACAAACGTTAAATTGAACAATCTCTGTGACTTATCATGACCTATCAATAACGATGTTTATACTGGCAACTATTATGAAAGGTAGAATATTACCATATAAGGGGTGTGTGACAGATAATATCGGTGTTATTGGCGAATGGGTGTAAATTGGTTCAATTTGGACATGTGATGTTACTGTATTCCGATTCAGTGACGAGAATCTGTTTTACTTGTTGCTAGATTATATTTTTATTTCGATTAGTGACTATATTGGTCCGTATGCACTGCTGAAAAGTTGGAGAATAAACTGAAGTGTTCGACTACTACCCTTTTATTTTCATTGGTCTTCCAGCTTATATCAGTACATAATAAAAGCTCATTTCATATTGAACAATCTCTTTTAACTGTATTTATTCCATTCTTAGTTTCTTGTCATTTTTTGGAACATCTTTTTAGTAAATATTTGAATACGATTTGTATATTACATGTCCAAAACACCTCGATAATATTAATATTTAATTACATCACTGGAAAAGTATTAATCTCTCTCATTTTTATTGGGTATCGGTTGTGTATACACCGACTTTCTGATAGCTCCAAGAAATAGGTTTACTCCATTTTAGAAATAATTTACAACCGATTAGTCACTGAGTGGTAGTGATCAACGTTATGTTTGTATGTATTTTCCTCCTACTTGTTTTCACTTTTCTTCTGTTTCTTATTAGCGTATCTGAATATTCTAGTGAGAATATGATGGATGCATACAATTTGGCTATTTGTTTCGGTCCAACATTAATCCCTATACCAAGTGAATATAATCAATTACATTGTCAATCAAGTGTTATTGATTTAATCAAACTACTCATTATACATCATTTAGTAATCTTCGATCATATGCTTCCTGGACCTGTGTATACCAAGAATAAGTATAATATTAGCAATAATAAAACTACAAATCATAAATCTGTGACCAGTTTAGATTCACATCGTTTATCACTTTCGTCAAATAATGCTATCGAAATAGGTACAGATAAACAACATGTTAAGGATGATAGTAGTAATTCATGTAAACAAAACTTACATGATACATGCCAATTTTCAGTGGGACTAAATATTAAACACCAGTCATCTACATATTTGGATCATGTACAAAGTAATGATAATAATAATAATATTTCATCCACGGAATGTGTTAAAGCATCAAGTGTTGGGTAAGTTTATTTGTTATCAAATTCTGTTTATAATTAATATTTCATGATGCATTTTGTTCAGTTATTCTTTATGATATATGAATCAGACATTTGTTTCATGCTTTTCCTAAGGTTCCTCTCTTTGATTCGAATTTCCTTGAGGTAATTAATACCGAATAATTTGATAATTTATATTAGTACTTGCTTAATTAACAAGTAAATCTGATACGTTGTATGTTATTTTGAAATCTTATCGTGTTTCTTATTATTTTAGTAACAAAAAATATTAATATTTAATTCATTTGTATTAGTTGTTTGAATCTTCCCATTGATGTTTAGGACTGCAGTTCATCAGTCTGTTTTTTGCCATATTGTGTATCATGTCCAGATCGTCTCGATATTACAGATAAGTCACAAGCATTATAAACGGAGATACACAGTTGCTAGCAGCGTAGTCTAGGATGTATGTCTCGTTCTGTTTGGGACTCGTCAGTTGGATATACCTGCGTCTCAGAGTTTATTCGAAAAGAAACAGATAGATAGTAGTTCTAAACATCAGTGAGAAGTTTCAAATAACCAATACAAACGGACCAAACTTCACAATATTACAAAAGCTAATGAGTATCTGAACTCCGTAGCTAAGTGGATGATGCGATGGCATTTGAAAATAACAGTGCTGGGTTCGAATCGCGGTGTGAACATCCTGATGATGAATCCCAAGTAGGATGAGACTCGCGTCCTTGTTTCCAATGCTAGCCACCATCCTTCGCTGCTCATAATAATGATATTTTTGTTTTGTTATAGAAATTTTATTCTGTCGGTTTTTGAGTTAATTAGTAGTTGAGATAGTGAATAAACGGCCTGAATAACTCCCATGAGTTGCACAGAAATCCACTCTTCAAGAAGAAGGCTGAGATATAAAATGAGTCCATGAAACCACTGACTGTAGCTTAAGCTGTGTTGATTGGTAGTAACCTCCTGGTTTGAGCTTGCAGGTTTTGTATTTCTTGACTTCAGATGGTAAGGCTCAAAATTGGTCTCTGATACAAATGCATTCATCTATGAAGAAGTAGTAGATGACTTCACAACTCAAAAACCTATGAATGAGAATTAATTTATTATATCATTATTCTTCTTATTACTGTTTTTCTGCTGTTGTGAAGTATTGTTGACCTTAGTCGATACATATTTATCCGAAGTTGTTTATAACTGACTAAATGGCAATAAATATCATGAAATTAATTTTTTTTTAACATATCGATTGAACTGCTGTGATATTATCATAATATTTCTTTGATAATGTGAAACATTGACCACATTCAAACATACCATAACTACTTAAAATATAAACGAAGAATTGTTTTGTTGAATACACACATTTTATATCCGTTATTACTATTCTGTTACTAGCTTATACATACATTATCAGTGTTTGAAATCGATTTCAATTGAAAAGAAGTAGTGACAGTGTTATTTTTTTTAAACGAATACATAAGTTTATTACAAAACGATGGATTTGAGATATTCATGTTGTATTTGTCAGTCACTTATATTTTTAAGATTGGTTATTGTTCCTAATGTAAAATATTAGAAACTTTGTAATCAATAATGGATAATGTAAAACCTTATTTGTCAAGTAAAAATTTATGTACTTAGCTTTGATCCATACTTTTTAATGTGAAAGCTATACTTATTACACAGCCATCTAAACTGAGTTCAATGAAACAAAGGTCGAATCTGTGGCTTAGTGATTAGAAGTTAACAGCTTTAACCAGTAATAGTAATCCTCTGCTTCACTTATACTAGACTTGTATTTCTTCATTTCGTTTACTTGAATAACTTATTCACTAATTTTATTCACATTCTAATTAGTAATCAATATTCTTTAGTACATAGTTCTATTTTAATTATTAACTCTTTATATTTCTTTATTAAAATAATTCTCCTGTATATTATAACAAAAAAAAACTAATTTTAATTATTGAAAGATATCGTTCTTTTTTTAATATTTTTCACTTTTCTGTCCATTGGAATGTCTTTATTTCTCATCAACGTACTACAACAATTAATGACTTTTCCAAGAAAAAAAAAGGAAGGATCGACTAATATTCAGAAAGAAGCTCTTTCCCTATTTTAATGTTATTGTCTAAGAAGTAAAAGTGATCATTTTATGTTGTACATATTTTTTTATTTCAATTAATAAAATATAGCAATCTAATTGACAATGAGACATTATCTTCGTCTAAGCGAAACGAAGCTGCTGGAGATGATGACTACGTGTTTTCTGAAGATGTCCAATCCATATCTGATAGTGAAGGTTCGTTTCGATTTATCTTTTCTTTTATATGTCGATAATACGATTGATAATGATGATTCAATTATAAACCATACCAGCTTCGTGTAATGTTTGTTTTCATTCTCTATTTTTTTAATGAATTCATCGTTCTGGTCTGTGTGTGAGTGGTTTATATATACTAAGACTGTTAATAATACCAGTGCGTGGTTATAATCCATGTATATTCAATCTCTATCCATGTTCAATCTTAGTTTAATGGCATCGTTTCACCAATATAGAAAAAATCTTATATTATATGTAAATTATATGTGGTATTTATGTACAAGAATGGGCGACATGTATTTACACTAATGTTTATGTACGTTTGAATAGTTCTTTTTTTGACATCAAATGTAACTTCTTTGTACACTGTAGAAACGAACATTTTTGACTGAAAAGAATCACTATTTACTTTTAATATGTACTCAGTCTAATAGTTGCTTGCATAATTGAATTTTTCATGCATTTGGTATTTTATTTCATAACTGGTCTTCGAGTTTGTATCAATTATTCACAATATTGGATGATACGGAAACTATTTCATACCAATTAACCAATTTAGGTAGAGTTGTATTCGAGCTATAATATAAGTAACGGATGACGGTTTCACTTGTCAGGCGATGAGGTAGCTGTTGTATTATTAGTAACCTCAATAGTGATTGGTACAATACAGAAACTGCATACAAGATGGTAAAAATAGGATAGTTAGTAAGTATTTGTCTACTTAACAGAAGGTTTGTATTTCTTATTTGTTATTATAATAATTAGTATGACTTGTCTCCCGTATGTGAATGGTAGGGAATGTGTTTTTTTTGTGGCTATAATCCACTAGACCGACATCGGGAAATGCGTTACCATGGCTACTGCTGACCAAATTAAGTTTTAACATCGCTTCTTCCTTTAAGATCTTAGAGTCTGTTTGCAACGCTGGTTTGTAATTGACTTTTCCAACACTTTCAGGTTAACCATTTATGTCTCATTACCAGAGAAGGTCAGATCATACGAGCTATTGTTGTACACTAAGCCCCCACAACCAAAATCTTCCTAATTGGGTTTGGTTTTTAGATATTTTAGTCTGTATGTTTAACAAGTTAGATTGCTAAATGTAAATAAGTATATTAATTTATTTCGAAGGTATTCATGTAGAGTTAATTACTATTTAGGTTGCAATATTTCTTGCTGAACTGCATCTTCATTTTAAGGTATTCTTAAACAAACATGATATATTTTATAGTTATATATTTATATATATATATATTTTTTGTTGTTGAAAAAAAACAGATTCTGAACCAGCGTACACCTTAGCTGTTGCTCGAGCAGATTTTACTGGATCAAGTGAACGTGAATTATCATTTAATCAAGGTGATGAGATTTTTCTTTATCGTCAGTTAAGTCAACATTGGTGGGAAGGACAGTTAGCTTCAGATTTGAGTTGTAAACGTGGCTTAATACCACATTTATATGTTGTACCCAAAGCTGCTCTACTACATCTTGCAGCATGTGAAGATGATAATCACAGTAATGAAAACCAACTGTTAAATGAGATGACCATTGATCTTTCTAAAAAGAGTGGATGTACAGCAATTGATGGAAGTTTAACTAATTTAGATCATGTTGATGCCGATAATAATAATAATGATGATGATAATAAAAGTGTAACAGAAAATGGTAGTGTACTCAGTTGGAATTGTCCTTCTGAAAGTTCAAACGAAAATATTCTTTCTGATACTAATGATAATAAAGTACATCAATTATCACAATCTGAAACTCCAATTTCAAAAACTGACAAATCGAATCAATTAGAAACTATAACTGTGTCTAAAACTATTCGCGACACTTCTATTCTCAAAGGGACTTCTTCAATGATTGAGATTTTTGATAAAGGTAAAAAAGTTCTATGTAATTACTTTGTTATCAATCTGTTATTGTAATCGATAGAACCATATACATCCATAGATTTCGTTTCTGTTCTACTGCTTCTACTCCATTTGCCAACACGTCTTGAGGTAGATAAAGATTGACCCAGTAGATTTATAGTTCATACCGTAGCCATCACATTTGATGCAAAAGTTTCATTTGAGTTGAAAGCAACGACGTATGTAGACTAAAATCATGTGTACAAATCAAGTTATATAATTACATAGTTGAATGTATTTGATCATAAATCTTTGAAGTATTATTTGCATATAATGGGACCACTGAATGAGGTCCAAGTCACGACGTACCAGGAAAGAAGAGGACTGTGTTAAACCTTCATCGACTGAGGTAGTTCATAACTTGTATTTTTTCAATCCCACATGTCTCTTTCAAAGCTATTTTTTATTTTTCGTCTGTTTTTCATCTCATTAATTTCTTTTCACTATACTGATGTGATATGTGGAAACCTGAACCAATTACATTCATCCCAGGTCGTACATTTCTGGTGACTGACTTTATTTTAATGTGTTAAGTACTTTACTTACAATCATCGAGTTCATATTTTAAACTTTAGGTATCTAGTTAGACATATGCAGAAGGCTCATTATGCTTATAAAGTTTCATCTAGCTCCACTATTTTAATGATAGTACAGAGCACAGTTTCACTTTCTAGCGGAAAACTCGAACATAATTCTGTAATGAAAAAACGACTCATTTCAAAACACGTTGTTTGACTACAACAATATTACTTAAACTAGAATGGAGTAGTCACAGAGTTAGATTTTACATTATTCATAACAATTAGTTGAATGTTTCACTTCCCATTGATTTTAATATCCTATTCCATACTTTGTTTCCTGTCTCAAAATCCAGGTGTAAAACCGACTAGTTCTAAGGAAAGTTCAAATACTACTTCAGAATCTCCCGAATCTAAAGATAAGAAGTCTTTACAAGAATTTGGTTATTCAGATAAACTTGTGATGCACCGGTTTAATAATCGTTATACTATTAGTTATCCAGCCTTTGGACCTTTAGGTTCTGTTCCTGAAAATGAAGTTATATCACCTAGTGAATTAACTCCATCATCTCCTGTGTATAGTTTAAATGAAGCGAATAATCGGTGCCAGTCTGTAGGCGAAGGAAGCTCTCGATTTTTATTTAATTCCGACGTTGATACAGCCTTAGAAGAAGTAAGTTTTTATTAGGAAAATTGATCATAATAATTTTACCAGTATATAGTTTGTTCAGAATAACTGTCTGATTAGATATATTACCTTTTTTCGGCAAAATCTTTTGTTAATCCCTCTCATCGATTAATATTAACCTAGTTTTCCAGTGAATTGAATGTTTAAGTATTCAATAACAATTGTCTTGTGTTTATCAACCACTGAAGCTCGCTGTCCAGCAGTTGTAATAGTAGTTAAATGAGTTACCCTACAACTAAGTTGGTTACAGTTCCGAACTCTGTTTGACCTACTTCAAATAGGGAGAACGATTAGTATATCTGGCCTTCATACTTTAATGAAATGAGGTTATTGAAGTTTGAAACAACAGTAATGACTTGTGTAATACTGAATTTGAAAACATCTTCTATCTGTACGAAATTTTTTGAACTCTGGAATTTTGTTCGTTGTAACTATTACTTCTTGAAGCACTAAATTTTCTATTACCATATAATTTAAATATTCATCACTTTATATTACAATATCCATATCCAACTCGGGATTTGCAAATATCAAATTACTCTGCTTATCATATATACTGAGAAACCGTTTTGTAAATTTATCACCTGTCTTCTCCAAACAGTCCTCGATCCTTTTTACTAAAATAAATTGACCAGACTCTGTTGTGAACAATATTGATACAGTGCCATTTGGAAACCAAGGTTTACATACCTCTAACTTTGATGCCAGGCACTTAAGTCCACGAACATGTATTACTCATATGATAGTTACAAAAGTGATGGCGACGTTGTATAATAATTTCATGGTTAATAATCCACTTCTATACCATTATTATAGACCAAAACCCATTTTTGAAATATTACCACTTTCAAGACTATAAAGGCAATTATTCTCAATCGCTGGGCACAGTTCTTACAGCATTTTGACATCTGTCGAGAGAGACGGTTTAGTAGTGTACATTATTGACTGACTCCCATATGACGCCAATCATATAAAAGCTGATGTCTTAAATTTTACAGGCGGTCGGTTAGCTTTAAATAGTCTGAATTATTAATTTAATTGTGTAGGGATTGTTGACTGCGATTGGTTTTTTAAAGTTTGTATTATCTTTGGTGCTACTTAAAGCTTATTCAAGTAGTTAGAAATGTGAAGTTCAATTTTTTAATTCATCAGATTTACGTTTGGACATTCTGTTAGATTATACTTGTTTTCAGTTTCATATTAACAATACATATGAAATCGACACCATCTTAATCTATTGTCCTAAATATCCACTTACTACGCTTATGTTTTACTGCTGTGATTGTTCGTTACTATTTTAATAAGTAAAAATTGAGTTGTTTAAAGTAAACTAATATTTATTATTAGATTTTTTACGTCATACAAACACTATTCAACCATTATATATACACTGTGAAATTCACTTATCAGTTTTAAGATTTAGTAACACAACGAACACAGTTTTATGTGAACTATTAAGGTTCATGTGCCGTAAAACATGTATTTGTCTGCTTTGTATTTCAAGATCACACCGTAGCAAGATAAATGAAAGCTCTATACTTAGGACCGTGGTTAGAATACGCCTTTTTTAACGTACTATTTTTAGGAAACTTGATAAAGCAATAAGCACGGACTGTTTTATCCTTTATTAATAATTAACGTGACTGTCAGAATTTTTGAGTGCTTAATTGTCCCAAAAGTACTTTCGTAAATGAAATTTCAGTGATTATTAATAGTAAAAATTTCAAGGTTGATTGTGATCAAATTATCATTTTTACCCTCCAACTTATCTTTGGTCAAGGTTATGCGTGGTTTAGCTTCTTTGGAACAAGCAGATAACCGTAATAGTGATTCTAGAACGCTAGAACGCAACCAAGAACTGACTCGTAAGCTTTGCTTACCTAGCGCGAAACATGCCCCAGATTTAGTCATGGATCTTCCTATTTCAACAGATTCTAAAGTGCAAAAATATACACCGTCTCCCAGTTACACTCATGAAGAGTCGGCTAACAGCTTTGCTGAACATTTCGCCGAACAAACTTTGAATACAATGCGAAAGCGCTCTGAAACACAATCATCACCACAAACGTCAGTAACTTCAAACCGATGTCCCGCCAGTGACGGTAGTAACTCAAGCTATGGAGAACTTGGCAAAGTTATTCTACGAAGTAGATCCAATCATACAGTTCAATCGGTAGAAGTTCCTAAAAGCTTACCCCGTTTGAATAGAGCAAGTTCTGAAGAAAAAAAACATGAAATACCACAAACTGCCGATGAAAAACCGACTAGTGAACCGAAACTTTCAATCGCTGCTCGAGTAGCAGCTTTCGAAGCAACTAAATCTGATTCATGTGGTTCTTCCATAAACGTTGCTCCAAAATTAGCTCCTAAACCTAAAAGAAGTTAATTTTGTTGTTGTTTTTACGTATTTCTTGTTTAATTTATTGATTGTGCTCAGCATTTATTACTTGTCAGTTTATTATTCGAGGTGATTTCTACAAACAATATGATAAATTACTTTAATAACCCTATAATCTGATGATGAATTATACAGGTTTTATCCGTTGGCATATTTTAATGCCCAGTTAAAGTATAAATATGCGTAAACAATACAGTGCTTCCTTTCTTTAAGATATCCACCAAATTCTTCATTATTCTGCCCGTTTTTCTTCCAATAAAATGATTTCATTTGAATTAATTTTCATTCTTAAATTTGGTAAGACCTAACTTTTACATTGATCAAAATGATTTTAGAAATAATGTGTTTTATACACTGTTATTATTTTTAATTTAAAAAAAAATAATACGAGCAGATACTACGTATTCGTTTTGATCTCTCGATATACTTTTATTTCTATAGTGTGAAATTCTTTGCGTATGGTTGGTGTCTTTTGATATCTTTCATAGTAATAATAAATAATAAACAGATGTGTCATACGTAATCCTATGACCAGATCTTAATACTTTATTTCGAAGTGTAAATGCATTACTAATATTTTTTATCTTATCGTGTAACCGGATTTCAATTTCCTTCTTTACCGTACATGTTTTCTGTTTTTTACTCTCACGGATTGTTTTCTTCATTTATCCTACTTTTAAAGGTGTACACATAATATTTATATATGTACCACGTGGCTCAATATCTAGTTTTATTGTAACTTTTGTTGTTTTTGCATCTGCAACTTTTATTTTTCGTGCTAACCTTTTTACCTATTATGGTGATCCCTAGTTGTTAGCTTTTAATGTAATTTTTAAAGGTTAATGTGACACTGGTTAAAATAGGGGTACTGTCAAGTTCTATTTGTTGTTGACAAAAGACTGCTCCTACCAATTGTAAACATTCATATGCATATGCGAATGTGAGATATTGTATTGTTAGTACCTATCCCGGTATTCCAATTTTACTTTGTGTTTAGTCTTATGCGCGTGTATGTACACTTAAATAAGATTATCGATGTACTTCCTTTACAACTAATTCTACATTGAGTGTTATGAGTTGTTATGCAAACATTTTATGCATATTGACTCAGTTGGTTTTATATTATTTTTGCTTATAATTGAATGTGAAGACAAAAAGGATTTTCAGGAATCAAATAACTGTCCACTTATTAATTGTGTGGTGTTAGTAGTGAAAATAAGCGTTTAAGTCTTTGTCTCTTTAGTTTAAAATAGATTATCTGGAATCCTTGATGGAAAAACGTTTTATGTACATTAAGAAGGAATGCGAACCAATGGCACTAAGCAAAATGTTTGTGTTATAATTATAAAGTTGAGAAATGTTAATCATTCAATCAACACAACATATTAATCCGGACAACTGTAGAATCACTGGTAGGAAGAATTGTTGATACAGACACGTGAAGGCTCCCAAGCTATTAGTAGTCCCACAAATAGGACGAAAGGGCCATCTAGTGCTTCCAGGTTTTCCCTGGTGGTCTAGCTTCAATTGACTCATGATTTCAACTATGAAATTACTGAAATCTCCACAAAACCCTGTCTGATTATGTATTATGAGTAAATGGCTTCAAGAACGATGATTTTTAGCGAGTTTTGACTGAGTTTTACAAAATCGTATTCTTAAAGAGATCCAGGCATTCTTCAAAATTAACACTCAGAGTTATCAGTCTGTAGGGTAGGAAAGTTTTGATGTATATTGCGAATCAGTTAGAATAACCATATTGAACAATTTATGCTATTGTTAAGCCAATCGGCACATACCACTCACTCACTTTCCAACTGTAATGTTAGGTGTGGCAATTCTGCAGAATATTCATTTCTCATAGTCGGACCACTATCTTTCGATATTCCACGGCTCACTGAGATATAAGGTTCTGAAAAGAGGCATATTCATTGTTGATTTATGTACTATCAGTACACAACCATCCGTTATCGTATTAACCAGCTCAACAATAGCAATTTCGTTCAGAAATATATTAAAAATCTGCCGATTGATTTCGTACAGACTAGGAAAATATTGCGTTTGTCTACCAGTTTAGCATAGTTCATTATATCCACTGCAGAAGTAGTAGTGATTAGACTTCAGAAGTGAGTTGTTTACACTAATTAATTACTCAATAAAAATGGAAACATCACTAGGTCATCATTCACTCTGAATACAACTTTAGATTATGTACAATATAATTGATATAACCAAGTTTACTTCTAGAGAATATTACCATTCAATAATTATAAACATATATTTACAAAAACTGTACAGAAAACATAATCAAGATGAATCATCCATGTCAGTTTCTGATGTCATAACAACATATTCACGTGTTGAGAAACCAAACTTGATTACATCTTTTTCAAGGAGCTCGTAGTAACGACGAGATTCTATTCTGTTGTTGTTCAAATAAGTACCGTTCGCTGACTCCAAATCGATGATATACAAGCGAATCAGGCCACGAACCTAAAGATGCAGGGAAATAACAACTGGTAACTTATAATTCTAGGCTCTTAGGTTTACTGTTTGCGTGCGCTAACCACAAAGTACTCATTAATCTTTAAAAAAGCTTAGAACTAATTGCTAATCAAATGGTAAAAGCTGGAAGAAAAACCAGTGGTCGGTTCATTGTTTCACCTGTCTGTTGGATAAACGATAAGGGACTAGACCGAAACTCATGCATTAAACAAATATGCAATGGAAAATCCAAAAAAATCCCTATTGTAACCGAAAATATATTATGATTATTATCACTATTAACATGCAGCTGTAGAGAAACGACGTACGTAACAAAATGACACTCCAAATCAGGATTTCTTAAATCTGTTTATCTACGACTGACGCGCGATAAATAAACATGAAACCTAATTCTACGTGGTCTTATGCATAGCTTTTAACCCATACTCTATGGTCCACAGCTGACATCTGCTAACTCGTTTTGCTTCAACATGTTAGTACAGCTAAATATCGAAATTCGACTACAGAGAAGAAAAGTTCCTTATATTTCATGTTCCCACTTGGTTTATAACTCTAAATTTCATTTTCTTAAAAATGAGCTACAAGCTTATGCTTTATGAATAAAAAGGAGATAAGTATGTTTATAAACTGCACCAACTAGAAGACACAACAAATCAAATGCGAAACAAACGACGGCAAGTGCTAAGTAGTAGTTCTTACTAATGACTTCGACTTTACATTCTGCGTGTACCATCACTAAGCATTTTTATCACTTTAAAAATGTTCTATTTTCTTTTACCGAAAATTATGGCGATTCATAGTATTTTGATTGCGATCCAGAAGGCAAATGACAAATATATTGACCGAGTAAACCTAAATACTACTGCCTTATTTACTACTCACGACAAAAATATCTGGCGAAACACGACACCAAGAAATGCACCGACATCAAAGTTAAACTTCCAACTTACAAGTCTATACTGCAAAACAGCATGCTGTTTCGAAATACTTGGATGATCCATAGGAATGTCTGCAATTTTTCGATCGCGACCAATTAAGAATCCGCTCTGTCTATGTATATGCAGTACGGATAATGTTTTATTTCCTTTGAAAGCATACAACCTCCAATGTGTGGTCGGTTTTCTAGCATCTTCTGGTTCATTGTATTTTATCACAACACCTTTAAAAACATTTGTATCTTCCGCAAGTTTGCCTTTCATACAGAAAAAGAGGCAAAAAACATAATTACTTAAGACGAAACGAGAACAGAAGCAAATGTACGTCCAGTTTGACTGTATTTATGGCAAACTTTGATATACTAAGTGAAATGACATACAATTACTTTTCAGAAGTGGTTTGTATATTCCTACAACCATACCACAGTAACTGAGCAAATATCTTCCAATTAACTACGATTGGAGTAGTACACTCAGTATTATGAAAAAAATATGAAACCAACTAGTATCTGACGGGTTTGTAGATGGCTTGAACCAATTATGATTCCTTTGACGAATCTAAACACTTATCAAGGATTTAGTCTGAAGCTCCATGTTGTGTTTTTGAGTAGGCTTCAACAAGCAGTGTTGGAAAACTAGGTAGTAAATTACATGGGCCCAGATAGTGGCTGGAAGTTTTCAAAGTAAGCATTCCAGTTAGTTCCTGGGCTATTGGTATTGTCTATAAACGACCTTAAGGACAGTAGAAATATGTATCTTTAGAATTTATAAAATTAAGAAAGCGCTAGCATCACTGGTGTAGACACGTTCACTGCCTGTTTTTTTGGTAGATTTGAGCAACATGTTTTTACGTACTGCGTCGCTAAAGTAATGTCATATTGTCATTTATTTATTGCCTTAATAAACCATGAGACCTGGTCCTAGCATGACAAATAAAGTCACAGGTAGATATCCAGCTAACAGATGCTTGACGAAAGAGGGCCCGAACGACTTAACAAACAGACAATTTAAGTTTACTAATGGACACTTCTACATAACCAGCTTTTTACTATTATTACTAGATGATTTCAAAAGCTAACAAATCTCTCAGTAAAGAAATATTTAAATAAGTGGTTTTCCATAAGGTAAAAGGGAGAAACCACCTAAAAGCAAATACGAAGTCTGCAAGTTTTGGGTAGAAATTACCAGTAGTTTGACTTTATAAATTAGTGAATTTATCAAAGGATTATATGTGATGCAGCTAGCTCTTCACATTGTCCTGTATACTTAGTTACCAGAAAATCTCTTTCAAACATCAGGCTAATGATACGACTTATCTACCTACCATTTATCAAGAACAGAGGTCAAATTTTTTAAATCACATCTCTGGATAGAAAGCTGGTATACACCCAGCAATATGAGTAAAATAGATTAAGTGCAGCAAGTAAATGTACCTGACAATTCAAAATTGGCTTTCTGTTTAACAACCGGACCGGGATTTCCGTCTAACAATCCGCTTTTCCCGAGATTAGGTTTGGATTCAGAAATATCTTCACTGTCCCTTAAGACAACAGGGGAACTAACTCTGCCGCTCCTTCGAGAAGACCTAGCTTTCAGTATTACAGGATCATTTAGTCTTCGTTTATGAGGCGGGCTGCAGGATTCTCGAGGCTCTAACTTGATTTTAGCATGGGTTAGTTGGTGAGACCGTTTATTGCTATGTTGTCGTGGAAGACTTTGCGGGCGCGTAAACTCTTCATCTTCTTTTTGAACAGTATCTTTTATTTTGTGTTTATGTTTGTGTTTGGTTTTAGATCTGTGTTGTGAATCTTTTGGTGATGGGGACACCCCCATGAAGGTCGAAGTCAAATTTGCCGTCAAGGCTTTTTTTATTCATTTCTTAATACCTTGAAATGTACCTCATTTTAAAAGAGCCAGAAAACGTGGTACTAAATATTGCTTGTCAGTTTTTACGGAAATACCATCAAATGCTTATGGTGCACTCATCTAAGTAAATAGAGTCTCTTAACAACAATAATAGTAGTAAACCTTTAGGATTATAAGAAGTCGATTCAGGGATCTCGTAGAATGTGAATTCAGATAATGACATAACTGTAAACAATCTTTTAGTAATACAAATTTGATTTTAATAATATAACTAAAATTCCCTGGAGAAGGTATTTGCAACGAGTATTAATACTTGAAAACAAATAAGCGTTCTCTCGTACAACTGGTAACTGAAATCTTTTAGTAATACAGAGAGAACCGTTCCCGTTCCTACAGGTCTCTACTTATTTTGAGCCCCAATCAACACACCCGACATAGAAGCAACACAAACGGACCTTCCTATGAATGTAAATCTACCAACAATCGAAGAAATCAGACGAAGAATGGGAAAGAAGCAGGACATGTCTTTATATCAGCACAAGCACTGAAGTTAGACATAGAAGTAGCTGCAAGCATCCTATTTGGTAATAGTCGTGTGAAAAACTGATCAGAAACTAAATAATGATTCGCTAGTTTTTGTACAAACGCATTTTATATTAAGTCCTTATCAGGCATTTTAATAAAATAACATTGACCACAGACTGATATGCATGGCCATCAGATAAATCAAGAGCGGCAAAGCAGCAGGATGATAAAACATCCCAGCCAAAGCACGGAAGGCAGATGTGGCAGTAACTGCAAATATACTTCACATTCTTTTCAGCAAGATTTGGAATGAAGAAAAAGACTGGAAACAAGGACCTCTGATCAACATACCAAAGAAAGACGATCCCAAAAAGTGTGATAATTGCAGAAGCATCACTGTTCTCTCAATACCAGGCAAAGTCTTCAACAGGGTGTTGTTAAACA